GTGACGCCATTAAAGCTGGTGACCAGCAGTCCCGCTGGCTCACACGTCCGAAGGTCTGTTTCAGTACGACCATCCGCAGATGAGCCGGGGGCCGTACCGAACCGCCGAGGTCGGTTCGAGGGACGCGAAGGTCACTCTGCAGCGGGACGTTGGCGCCTCTCTCCGATGGAGCGCCGGGATGTGGTCCGTTTCCCAAGGATTCGCACGGGTCCGAATGGGGTTGTTGGAGGTGGCGCCAGCGGCGAATCCTCCTTGTCTCCTTGCCAAGGATAATCGCGCGGTGCCCGGCAGCGAATCGCAACCTCCGTGCGTCCTCGTCAGGGAAAAAATCTGCAGCACCTTTGGTGCGAGAGTTGTTCCGGATTGCCCGCAGTGCCAGGTTGTCCTTCAGTGCCGATGGGGATGCCCTGCAGGGCCCCTGTTTTCGCCGCGTGCATGGCAGCCTCCTCCTCGCGGGTTCTAGGGCCTGTCGGGCAAGGGGTGAGTTGAAAGTGTTCAGGTGACGGCGCATGCTTCTGCCTGTGCGGCCGCCTCAGTAGCTTTACGGGCGCGACATAGCCGGAGCGAGTGCGAGGGGCTGCTCGACGATGGTAGAGAAAGCAATTCGTTGCTGGCATATATTCAATTCATGATCGAGCCGTTGTCTCATCGGCGGCGGGTATTTCGCAGCAGGCGAAAGGACAATGTTGTCAGAGAGGTTCCAGTTTCATTCAGTATCGCAGCTGTTCCAGATAGTAGTCATCTCGGGGCGGACACAGTTCCAGTTCGGCTGCGGAAAGCTCGCGAAGCGAAGCGGCGTAGTCCCGTATGATTGCCTGCAGGGTTCGTCGGAAACACACATGCACGTCTCCCGCTTTGAGTTTGTGTTGCCCGGCTATCCCGGTTTATCTGTCGTCCTGTTAATGGGGAAGCCGCGTACTCTCGCGAGTGTAGGACAAGGCAGATGCAAACGCAATTGCTGATGAACATATAGTGGTTAAAGCATTCGAATCAGTACGATTTAATCGCTTTCCTGGCGTGGAAGTATGCAAATAGATGGTGTTGTAACTGTGACTTAAGGCTGTATGATTGAGTAAAGTAAAAGCTTGTGAGAGCCGTGAAATCCTGATTTCCCTGGCGTTTCCTTCGGAGTAACCAGCGGAGGGCAATTTGCGGAACCTGGCCAACTTCCTGGTACATCTTTTTGGACGTTCCGAGGAGACGGGCAGCCCGAGGCTGTCTGTGGTCCATGACCGCTGCCTGTATTGCGAGGAGCCGATTAGCGACTCGCACTCCTACATCACAGCGAGGGTATGCCCTTTCTGCCGATTTCATTACACCATCACTGCCCGTGAGCGAATAGAGCTACTTGCGGACCGGGGCACGTTCAAGGAGACACACAAAAGTTCCTCAGTTCGGTCGCACCTCTATCCTTCGCCCACCGTGGCCGTTACGGCCAGTTGCTATCGCAGGACCAGAACCGCACTGGGCTTACCGAGGCTGCGGTTACCGGCCGATGCAAGATCGATGACGCCGAGGTCATGCTCATAGTCCTTGATTTCACCTTCATGGGCGGCACCATGGGCAGCGTCGTCGGAGAGAAGGTTGCCTCTGCACTCGAGGCTGCCGCCAAGGGAGAGATCCCGGTCGTAGCAGTGGTTTCTGGAGGAGGAGTACGGGTACAAGAAGGGGTCCTGTCTCTCATGCAGATGGCCAAAACGGTCACTGCGGCCAACCGACTGCGGGACGAGGGAGCGCCATTCATCGTGGTTCTGGCCAACCCGTCCACGGGACAGGCCTACGCGAGCTTCGCCAACCTTGCAGACGTGATTCTGGCGGAGCCCAAGTCTCTCATCGGGCTGTCGCCGCTCCGTACTCTCAGAGAGACGTCAACCATTCCGCTGCCCCTGGACGCTCATACTGCCGAGGCGCACGTGGGCCACGGGCTGCTGGACAACGTGATAGACCGCGAGGCGATGCGCCCGAGGGTTTCGCTCCTACTGCAAATATTGCAGGGGCAGAAGCAGGACAAGGGCAAGCAGGACAAGGCCCTGAGGTCTGACCTGCTCAAAGCCGCAGAAGGGTCCTGCACGCAAGTCGACCCCTGGGACGCCCTTTCCGCCGTCCGACATTCTGAGCGTCCACCCGCCTCCACCTATTTCCGGCAGATGCTGGAGCCGTTCATAGAACTGAGGGGAGACCGGCTCAACAGCGACGACCGCTCGGTGCTGGCGGGGGTTGGCTACCTCGCCGGCCAGCCGGTCGTTGTAATAGGACAGCAGCGGCGTCCCTTGGTGGAGGGTGAGCGCTACCACGTTTATCCCGACGGTTTACGCAAGGCACAGCGGGTCATAGCATTGGCCGCCCGCTTCAGGCTTCCCCTCATAACATTGGTGGACACCCAGGGCGCGGACCCTGGGCTGGAGGCCGAGGAACAGGGAATCGGCAACGCCATCGCCCGCACGCTGTCGTCTATGCTCGATGTCCCCACGCCTATAGTTGCCGTAGTAATCGGGGAGGGAGGCAGCGAAGGAGCCTTGGCGCTGGGGCTGGCGGACTGCATCCTGATGCAGCAATACGCTGTTTACTCGCCCATTTCAATGAACCACAATCTGGCGGGCACCTTTCACGAGCAGTTTGACCGTGAGGCGGCTGACGCTCTGATGCTCACGGCCCACGACTGCGTTGAGCTTGGCGTCGCCGACCAGGTCATTCCGGAGCCGGAGGGGGGGTCTCATCTCGACCCCAAGAATGCGGGGCTGGCCCTACAGGGCAGCATAATGCGTGAGCTGAACCGGCTGAGTAAGATGTCGCAAGGCAAATTGATGAAACGTCGATACGCCAAATTCCGACGCATGGGGGAGGTCAGCGAGTACTCGCAGGAAGCCATGACGAGGGAGGTAGAGTTGCTGATGAGCATTACCGCCGGAGAACGCATGCCGGCGCGAATGTCGAGGCGACGAACCTCGGAGTCTGAGCCGCACGAGGCCTACGGGCTGACCAAAGACTGAGTGGAAAAGTGAATCCCTTTCCGATCAGGAAAGGGATTTAGAATCGGGGTTGCAGAACTATGGCGCGGAACCACAATCCCGCGCTTTTTCTGTTGTTATGCGGCTTCTCGACCGAATTCCTTGAGGCTGCGGCGCAGTTCAGAGGCGATCTGGGAGTATTCCTCCCTGACTTCCTCGTCGGCCAGCACGGTCGGCATTGTGTTGTTGCGGTAAGACGGGCGCAACTCCATGTTTCCCAGATAGGGCGCGTCCACTTCGGCGGCCAAGTCCCGGCCGCCGCCCTGTCCGAATATCTCGCCCGTGTAGTTCTCCACCACACCAACCACATTCAGATTCAGCTTGCGGATCATGTTGATGCAGCGCTTGGCATCCAGCACCGCCAGATCCTGCGGCGTGCTGACCACCACGAAGCCGTCCATGGGCAGGCTCTGCATTACGGTCAAGGGCGAGTCAGACGTACCGGGCGGCAGGTCCACCACTAGGTAGTCCAGTTCATCCCAGTCGGTGTTCTGCAGGAACTGGTTTGATTGCATTGTGGATCATAGGGCCGCGCCAGATGATTGCCTCCTCCTGGTTCTCCTGGAAGAACGCCATGGAGACTACCTTGACGCCCCACTGCTCGGCGGGAATGATCTGGCCATCCACGTAGTCGGGCGTGGCCGAGGTGGCCAGGACTTTGGTGACGTTTGGGCAGTCGATGTCAACGTCGAGGATGCCGACCCGGGCGCCTTCCTTAGCCAGCGTGACCGCCAGGTTTACAGCCACGGTCGTCTTGCCGACTCCTCCCTTTCCGCTGTACACGCCGATCTTTGTCTTGATCTTGTCCAGCCGCTCTCCGATCTGGCGTTTCTGCTGCCAACTGCGCTTTATCTGTTCCAATCGCGCATTCTGGGCATTCTGTTGTGGAGTGGTCATAAGCTTCCTTGCCGGCTCACGGCCAAATCGCGGGGCCGCTGCATCAACAGTAGAGAGGAGGGGCTACGCAAGCCCACCCTCTCCAAGACCGGTCGCCGAATAAGGGGTGTGCTGTCCGGGCTGTCCGGATTGCTAGATGCCCAGCTGGTTGCGGGCCTCTTCGCTGATAAGGTCGGGAGACCAAGGGGGATCGAAGACCAGTTCTATCTGGACTTCGTCAACGCCGTCCAGTTCCTGGATGGCCCATTCCGCTTGCTGGCCGATGTAGGGACCCATTCCACAGCCGGGGAAGGTCAGCGTCATCTGGACGTAAACGTCTGATTCATTGACTTGGACGTCGTAAATCAGACCGAGGTCAACCACGTTCACCGGAATTTCGGGGTCATATACGGTGCGGAGCGCTTCCAGCACCTCGTCCCTGGACACAACCGCTTCGACCATCTCAGCCTCCTTAAAATGCCACCTTACTTGACAGGATTATAGCAAGAAAACAGTGGGTTCGTTCCGATGATGGAGGGCTGGGGGGTAAAACGGAAGCCGTTTTGCAGACCCCCGCCTCCTGTTTCCGGGCGGACCTTGTTATGGAATCAGCAGCAGCTTGCCAGTCGTCGCGCGGCTCTCGAGGAGGCGGTGCGCCTCGGGAGCCTTCGCCAGCGGAATTTCATGGTCAATGTGCAGCTTGATCTGGCCGGAAGCGACCCAGCCCAGCACGTCGCCGGCGCGTTGCTCGAGCTCGGTCCGGTCAACGGTGTAATCGCCAAGCCCCGGTCGCGTCAGGTAGAGCGAGCCAGCGGCGAAAATGCGTGGGTCTACCGGGTCAGGGTTGCCGCTGGCGGCACCATACAGGGCCATTACGCCCCGGCGACCAAGGCAGCTGACGCTTTGGTTGAAGGTGGTCTTGCCCACCCCGTCGTAGACTACGCGGACACCTTCGCCTCCAGTGGCTTCCTTGACCACCTCGGCAAAGTCTTCCTTGGTGTAATTGATAGCGTGGTCGGCGCCGGCCTGCCGTGACATCTCCGCCTTTTCTTCAGTTGACACGGTGGTGAAGACGTAGCCCCCCAGCATCTTAATCATCTGGGTGAGTATCAGGCCCATGCCACCGGCGCCGGCCTGGACGATTACCCGGTCGCCTGGTTGGACGGCGTAAGTGGAATGGCAGAGATAGTGGGCCGTCATTCCCTGTAGCATTGCGGCTGCTCCGGCCTTGGCGTCCACCTCCGCGGGACGCTTGATCAGCCGCCACGCGGGTACCAGCGCCTGGTCGGCGTAGGAACCGTTGACGCTGCAATAGACCACGTCATCGCCGACGGCGATGTTTGTGACGCCGCTGCCCACGGCCGCCACCACGCCAGCGCCCTCAACGCCGATGGTTCGCGGCAAGGGAGGACCAGGATTAATGCCCGCACGGCTGTACACGTCGGTGTAGTTGACGCCCGCCGCCTGGATCCGCACCAGTGCCTCACCTTCGCCTGGCGTCGGGTCGGCAATGTCCTGGTATTTCATTGCCTCCGGACCGCCGAATTCGTTGATCTGCACCGCCTTCATTTCCTTAACTCCTGCGCGCTATTGCGTCCATGGCCGTTCGCCGACTGGACTGGCACAAGTATACACCCGCAACTCTCAGAGCCCTCTGGGCAGCCTTGATTGAGGCTGTAAAAAGCCATTCTCAAATTGCCAAGCATTGAGGGAACTGATACTATGCAAAGGCAATTTTCTCAAAACGTGAACATCGGCCTCATCACTCCGGGCCCCGGCGCCTGTCCCGTCACCATTGGCCAAGGAAGTAGACGCCGTGTCGTTTGCAATTCTAGTGAGGAACCTATGGCAGAGAGTTTCTTGGATTTTGTGAAGAGTCTCCCGGAGCAGGGAAATGTTCGTACCGTGAGTATTGATGAATTGGACGCTGAGGCGTTCAAGCACGGGCGAACCACCAGCACGGGCGGCCGCAGCTTTTACTCCAACGTACGGAACCGTAGTGCTGGAGTCGCGGTGATTTTCGGGAGCGACAGGGTTGCCACCTCGACTTTCAACCCTGCCCAACAACGCATCAATGAGAACAAGGACAAGACACTGCAAGAGGTCAGGGAGTACCTTCTCCGAGCCCCCCTGATAAGAGTACAGCGCACAATCGGTGACAACTCAGAATTCAACCCCAAGTGCAATCTCTTCCTCTCGGTCCAGCGCACCGACAACGCCCGCCAAGCCTGCCTCTGGAGCCACACCCTCCGCGACTACGACCCTTCCTCCCCTGGTCCCGAGCTCTACGAAATCTGCATCCCCGAATGGCCCGAGAATGAGCGCCAGGTGCTGGTATTCCCCGAGGAAAACCTCACGGTGATCCTTGGCATCGACTATGTCGGCGAAGTGAAGATGGGTTTCCTCCGTATGGCCATGTGGGACGCCAAAGAGGAAGGGATGCTCAGTCTACACGCCGGTTCAAAGGTAGTGACGGCGCAGCAGCCCAGCGGAGACTCGAAGCGATTTGGGATGCTGTTCTTTGGCCTCTCTGGCACCGGCAAAACAACGCACGCTTGTCACGGCCACGGAATGGATGCGCCGGGCGAGGTGATGGACATCCTCCAGGACGACATCGTCTCTCTTGGGACGGATGGGCGCGCCCTTGGTACTGAGCGGGGCTTCTACCTCAAGACCGAGGGTATGAACTCCCAGACGCAGGAACTGATCTATAACGCGCTCCGTTCCCCGGAGGCCCTTTTCGAAAACGTAATGCTCACCCACGACGGTGATATTGACTACTCCGACCTTTCGCTGGGGGGCAACGGGCGGGCCGTCATACCACGCACCAGCTTTGGCGAATACGTGGGCAGCGATATCAACATGCCCTCGCTGGACCAGTTGGATGGCGTGTCGTGGCGTTCATCACGCGCCGGATGACCGTACTCCCCCTCGTGTCCCGTCTGACCCCGGAGCAGGCTGCTGCCGCTTTCATGCTGGGCGAGAGCGTGGAGACAACGGCCGGTGACCCCCGGCGCGCCGGTGAGTCGGTGCGAGTGGTGGGAACGAATCCGTTCCTCATTGGTTCAGAAGCCGCCGAGGGCAACTGGTTCTATGATTTTGTGAAGAACAACGAGAACAAAGTCCAGTGCTTCCTGCTCAACACCGGCGGAGTGGGCGAGATCCTGGAACGTGACGAGCAGGGCCGGGCCAGTGTCAAGCAGCCGGTCACGCGGGTCCCGATTCCAGAAATGTCGGCGTTGATCCGCGGTATCCTGCGCAACACGGTCGAGTGGGGAGAGGATCAGTTGTTCGGCACCGAGATCCCCGTTTCGGTCGAGGGTATGGATTTCGGCAAGTATGATTTGTCCAACTTCTACACGGCCGATCAGATAGAGGACTATGCCACCCGGCTGAAGGAGGAGCGCCGGTCGCACTTGGCCAGCTTCCCCGGACTTAATCCCAAGATCCTGGAAGCCACTAACTAGACCGGCAACCCCAAATCAGAAGGCGGAGGTATCCCGCCTGGCAACCAGCCCACTCCAGCCGGCCAGAGGTTCGAGGCGCTCAGCCAGTTTGAATCCGACCCCAACAAGAAGAGGAAAAAGGGCGCCCGGGACGGCAGTCAGGAATTGCGGAAGTTCCTTCGATGGAGCGGGGATCGGGAGGTTGGCAGGTTCACCCCCCACGATATGGAGCAATACGCGAAGGAAGTTGGACAGAGCGGCGCAGACTCGGCACAGCAGCGCCTTCTGCCCATCAAGGCTTCGTTGAATATTGGAAAGTCCAGGGCTGGACTGACAAGAAGCTGGCCACCCACCTGCGTCCGCCCCGCAGCAAGACGCGCACCCTGCCAGCTGTGACCGCCCGCCCGACCGCCGTCTGCATGCTTCGCCCGTCCTGTTGAATGAAGACGAGATCCACCTACCGTGTCCAGGAGGCGTATGACCGTCTGGTTCTACAATTGGCGGAGCTCAAAGAAGATGACTTGAGAAGCGGTGAAGTCCCTCACCGACGAAAGAGATCGGGTTCAGCACCCAGGAAATCAGACCGGCTCGCCAGGCAGTGACAAGGAGGTTTTACAGGGAGAACGCCCCCCTGGATGCCGCCAAGGAGCGCCAGAACCGGATCGAAACCCAGATCAGCCAGTTGGAGTCGGCAATATCCAAGGCCGAGATTCTTCCCGGATCCAGCAACGGCGCTGAGATAAGCCGGTCCGCCGTAGGCACCCGGATTACTGTCAAGGACAAGGACTCTGGTGAGGTAATCGACTATACTCTTGTGGATGCCCGTGAGGCCGACATAGGTCTGCGACGAATCTCGATACAGTCCCCTGTGGGACAGGCCCTGCTGGATTTGGGTGCGGGAGAAGAGGTGTCAGTCCCCACTCCGAAGGGAACTTTGATGTACGTCGTCGAGAACGTAACCGCCGCCTGATTTCCGGTACTAATGATACGAAGCGAAGGGGCGCACTAGTGTGCGCCCCTTTTGCTTTGGCAGCCCTGAATCCCAGTAGCCGTCGTAGAACAGCTCATCGCCCATTCAGCTCTCGCCCTAGTTCGTCCCGCCGATGAATGTCCGTTGGCTCGGGCAGCACACCGGGAACATAGGTCTCGCGGAACCGGATGACTCCATCTTTATCCACGATGATGATGGCCCTGTTCCCGGCGCCGCGCTCCTCGTTCCACAGGTCGTAGGCCTTGGTGGCGTCCCCCTTGGGGTGGAAGTCGGAAAGCTCGGGATAGGGCAGACCGCCAATTGCTGTGCTCCACGCCTTGTGCGCGTGCACGGTGTCGCAACTGATGCCCAAGACCTGGGCATTGTTCTCCTCGAACCGGCCGTGAGCCTGCCGGAAGAGGGTGGCCTGACTGGTTCAACCAGATGTGAAATCGAAGACGTGGAAGGACAGCACCACCGTCTTTTCACCGCGATACTGGCTGAGGGTGATTTCTCGGTTGTTCCGGAGAGGGTAGCTTGAAATCTGGGGCTGCGTCGCCAACTTGTGCAGGCATAACCATACTCCTATGTATTGACGGCAAGGCAGGCTGCCGACGGTAGGGATTATAACCCACAATCGATCCTGCTGTTACACGCCCCTCACCTGGAAGGATTCATCTGGAAGCGCTGCCCAGAGCGAATGCAGCGGCGTCTTTACCTTTCAGGTACGGCCGGATAGATCATCGGACAAGGGGCGGGAAGGCCGGATATTCTCACGGCAGGCGGTAGGTCACTGTCTTGCCGCACGCTTCGTCTATTTCCTCGGGGGTAATCAGCTGGACTGTGTTGATGTTGAGTGCACCCCCGGCGCCGATGGACAGCGAAACGGCTGCCGCGGTCGCCGTATCCGGGAGATCAAAGGTCAAAAACAGATCTGTTCCGCCGAATGCGTAGTAGCAAGACTCCAGAGATCCGCCCTGCTCCTTGGCCATTTCTTCAAAAACACTCCGGCGTGAAGTGCCACCTTCCTTCAACAAGCCCTGGAGACCCTGGGCGGTGTAGTTGGCTTGGAAGAGATACTTGGGCATATCCAACTCCTCCTGGTGTGGCTGGCACCCTGATTTTTCCGGGCACGGCCCCGAAGGCGGCAGGATGTTATACGAGGGCACCGTTCTGCTGCCTTCGAGACAGAGAACCTACGTTACATAAAGATAGGTACATGTTAACCACCTGGCTTATGTCCCGGCAAGGTGCAGAGGCGCCCTGGCTGTTGAGATTAGGGACGAATTTGATTGGCGGAAATGGGACAGCGACATAACCTAAGTGATTCCAATGCTATACTGCCCGACGATGATTGGGACCGACCAAAGCGGCATCGTAAAGGCGGACGCAGCATGGAGGTAGTGTTCGACAAGGGCATATACGTTCCCGAACTCGAACTGTGGCTCGATTCGACGAGAAAGCGTGAGTCAAGCGTTATCTCCCACGCCCACTCCGACCACACAGCACGGCACCGCAGGCCAGTCGTAACCCCCAACACGCTCCTGCTCCTCCGTGACTACCTGAAAAATGCAGACCCGATAATCCTTCCCTACGGCGAACCGTTGGAATCTCCGACTCACACAATCACCCTTCAGCCCGCGGGCCACTGCCTCGGGTCGGCGCAGACGCTGGTGGTGTCGAAGGCCACGGGCCATCGCCTTCTGTACACGGGCGATATCAAGACCCGTACCAGTCCCACTAACGAACCTGCGGTGACGGTCCAAGCGGACACTCTGGTAGTGGAATGCACGTATGGCCGCCCCGAGTACGTGTTCCCGTCCGAGGAGCAAACCCTCGTAACAGCTTCCCGGACCCTGAGGACGTGGTTGGATCGCGGCGAGCGCCCCATAGCCCTGGGCTGGCGGCTGGGGAAGGCACAGGAGATGCTGCACCACCTGTTGTCAGATGGATTCGAGGTTGTGGCCGAATCAGGCATATACCAGGCAGTGGAGGCGTACCGGGAGGCAGGGGTCGAGTTTAACGGCAACGTTTCTGCCTACGATGGCCACTGGCCGGACGGTACGGTAGCGCTGTTCCCTCCCGGCAAGAGCGTGCAGGCTCTCCGGGGATACCGGAACATGAAATCTATGGAACTCACCGGATGGGCCGCGTCCAGCTCACGCCACCACTGGCGCCGGCCTGCCGATGCCAGCCTGCCGTTCAGTGACCATGCTGACTTCAATGACCTGCTCTCTTACGTGGAGGCAGTGAATCCCAGCCGGGTGTACACGGTCTACGGGTTCCCGGAGTTCGCTGCCAAGCTCAGGTCAATGGGCTACCCGGCGGTACACCTGGATGGGAAAACGGCTCCCTCCAACACTGGGTTCCAGATGCGGATGGTGTAACGAAGAAGGGGCGCACCATCGTGCGCCCCTTCTTCGTTTCGGCGTCTGTGCCCCCAGCTTAGTCCGGCGTTGACCCCAGGGCGGGGACGTTGGCGGACTCGTCCGAGGCGAGTTGGCGGTTGACTGCGCTGAGATAGGCCTTTGCGCTGGCCACCACTATGTCCGTGTCGGCACCGCGACCGGTGTAGGTCTTGCCGTCCTTTTCGATGCGGATGGTGACCGTGCCCAGCGAGTCAACGCCCTCGGTCGCCGACTGCACATTGAAATCCACTAGCTTGTTGACGACGCCGATGGCGCGGTCCACAGCGTTGCAGATGGCGTTGACCGGGCCGTTGCCGGTGGCGGCGTCGGTGATTGGGACACCCTCGGGGTCGATCAGCCGCACGGTGGCCGTGGCAATGCCGTGGTCGCCGCCGCTGAACTGCACCTGCTCGAGGGTATAGCTTATGGGCTCGCTGGCCTCACGCGATTCCTCGTCCATCAGGATTTCCAGATCGCGGTCGGTGACCTCGCGCTTGCGGTCTGCCAACACCTTGAACGATTCGAAGATCCGGGAGACCTCCTCGCGGTTCAGGCTGTAGCCAGGGCCTCGAGGCGGGATTGCAGGCCAGCGCGGCCGCTGAGCTTGCCCAGCACCAGGCTGTTACCCGGAACGCCCACGCGTTCCGGCTGCATCACCTCGTAGGTGGAGCGGTCTTTCAGCACACCGTCCTGGTGGATGCCCGATGCGTGGCGGAAGGCGTTCTCTCCGACCACTGCCTTGTTGAGCCTGCACCGCCATACCGGAGATGCGGCTGACCATGCGGCTGGACGGGTAAATCTGGGTGGTATCTATGCCGATGTCCACCCCGAAGTGGTCCTTCCGGGTATCCAGGGCCATGATGATCTCTTCCAGAGAGGCGTTTCCGGCGCGCTCGCCGATGCCATTGATGCAGCCCTCAAGCTGCCGGGCGCCGGACTCAACGGCGGTCAGGCTGTTGGCGACGGCCAAGCCCAGGTCGTTGTGGCAGTGAACACTCATCACCACATTTTCGATGCCCGGCACGTTGGTCTTGATGTCCTGGAGCAACCGTGCAAAGCCAGTGGCCGACGGAATGGCGTAGCCTACGGTGTCAGCGATGTTGATCGTGGTCGCTCCGGCCCGGATGACCTCAGTCAGCATCTGGTACAGGTACTCCGGGTTGGTGCGCGTGGCGTCCATGGGTGAGAACTCGACATCCTCGCAGTAGCCCTTGGCCCGCTCCACCATGGTGACGGCCATTTCCATGACCTCTTCCCGATTCTTGCGTAGCTGGTGCATCTGGTGAATCTCCGAAGAGGAGAGGAACACGTGGATGCGGGGCCTTTCGGAATGCTCCACTGCGCGCCAGGCCTGGTCGACGTCGTTGGGATGGGCCCTGGCCAGGGATGCGATGATCGGGCCCTTGACCTCTTTGGCGATGTTGGACACTGCCTCGAAATCGCCGGGGGAGCTGGCGGCGAAGCCGGCCTCTATGATGTCCACGTTCATCTTCTGAAGCTGCCGGGCAATCTCCATCTTTTCGGCCCCGGTCATCCCGATGCCCGCCGACTGCTCGCCGTCGCGGAGGGTGGTGTCCAGGAGCAAAACTCGTTCGTTAGCCATCTCTTCCTTTACCTCAGTCTTCCTTTCTGATTTTGGTGAGTTGGGTTACCTGGACCGCTAACTGCGGCTATCAGAAAGGCTTCGCAGGGCCACGTAGTCCACCACACCCAGCCCGGCCAGGACCAGCGTGCGACGGTGAACTACACTCAACGTCTCCTGCTGCATAAATTTTCGTTCCTCTTCGGGAGAGATTTCAGGCACGAGAGGGGGATCCCCCCTCTCCCCTGGGGAAAGGAAATTCCGTCGCTACTTCGGGTCCATCCAGGGCATCATGGCGCGCAGTTCTTTGCCAATGCCCTCGATGGGGGCGTTCTGCGCCGCCTCGCGCATGGGGACGAACCGGGGGCGGCCCTCGTCGTTTTCGGCGATCCACTCGCGGGCAAAGGTGCCGTCCTGGATCTCCTTCAGCACTGCCCTCATATTCTCGCGGACGTGCTCGTCGATGATCCGGTCGCGGCGGCTTAGCGAGCCGTACTCGGCAGTGTCGCTGACCGAGAAGTGCATGTAATTGTGGCCGCCCTGGTACATCAGGTCGACGATCATCTTCAGCTCGTGCAGGCACTCGAAGTACGCGATCTCCTGCGGGTACCCCGCCTCGACCAGCGTCTCGAAGGCGGCGTTGACCAGTGCCGTCACGCCACCGCAGAGGATGCTCTGCTCCCGAACAGGTCGCTTTCGGTCTCGTCCTTGATGGTGGTCTCCAGCACGCCAGCCCCGGTGCATCCGACGCCCTTGGCGTAGGCCAGGCCGATCTGCTTGGCGTTGCCGGTGGCGTCTTGGTGCACTGCCAGCAGGCTGGGTACGCCAACACCCTCCACGAACAGTTCGCGCATGCGGTGGCCGGAGCCTTGGGCGCGACCATCATCACGTCCATATTGTCGGGGAGCACGATTTCGCGGTAGTGGATACTGAAGCCGTGGGCAACCATGAAGGCACTGCCGGGCTTCAAGTTGGGCTCGATCTGCTCTCGGTAGATCCGGCCCTGACGTGGTCGGGAATGACCATCATTACAACGTCGGCTTCTTTTGCTACCTCTGGTACCTCAGCCACGCGGAGCCCGGCTGCTTCGGCGACTGCGATGGAAGAGCTACCCGGGTAGAGGCCAACCACCACGTTCTGGCCGTTGTCCTTCAGGTTCAGAGCGTGGGCGTGGCCCTGGCTGCCGTAACCGATGATGCCGATTGTCTTGCCTTGAAGGATCCCCAGGTCGGCGTCCTGATCGTAGTAGACATTTACCATCGTTGACTTTTCCGTCCTTAATTTAAGTTGATGTTGCCAGCTGAATTTGCGTTCTAGATTCCGCTGTCCATGCGCAATACGCTTATCGGGACGCCCAGGTTTTCGGCGTCCATTCCGCTTTCCTGTCCACGGACCATTGCAACAAGTCCGGTGCGGACCATCTCTGTAATGCCAAAGGGGCGAAGCAGGTTTTCCAGGGCGTCTACTTTCTGATCCCCGCCAGTTATTTCTATGACTATGTAGGTGGAGCCGACATCCACTATGTTGGCGCTGAAAAGCTCGGCGAACTGCATGATCTCGCCTCGGGTGGAGGGCGTGGTGGTTACCTTCAGCAGGGCCAACTCGCGGGCGACTACTTGGTGGGTCGAAATGTAGGAGACCTGGATAACGTCGATGAGCTTGTCAAGCTGCCGGGTGACCTGCTGAACTGTTGGGAGATCACCATTGACGACGAAGGTCATCCGCGACATTCCCTGCTTCTCGCTCCGCCCTACGGCTAGGCTGGCGATATTGAAGCCTCGTCGGCGGAACATGCTGGAAACGCGGGTCAGCACCCCCGGCTTGTCTTCCACGAGGGCGATGATGGTGTGCTGGTCCGTCTGGCTGGACTGCACCATCCTAGTAGGGACCTCCCTGGGTCGGCTGTACTTCGATCATCTCGTGGACCGACTCACCGGCCGGGATCCATGGATATACCTGCTCGTCGGCCTTCACCACAAAATCGATGATGACCGGCCCGGAAACCTCCATGGCATGACGCACGGCATCGTCCACCTCGTCCTTGCGGGTCACGCGCATCCCGTCGATGCCGTAGGCCGCGGCCAGCTTGACGAAGTCGGGGTTTCCGGAGTATTCCACCGCGTAATACTCGTGGTCGTAGAACACGTCCTGCATCTGTTTGACCATACCGAGGCTCTGGTTGTTGAGTATGGCGAACTTGATGTCCACGTTGTTCTCTATGGCGGTGGCCAGGTCGCACATGGTCATCTGGAACCCGCCGTCTCCGGCAACCGACCAGACGGTCTTGTCGGGCCGGCCCATTCGGGCGCCCAGCGCTGCGGGCACTTCGTATCCCATAGACCCCAGGCCGCCGGAGGTGATGAGCGTGTTGGGTTCCCTGAACTTGCAGTGCTGCGCCGCCCACATCTGGTGCTGGCCGACACCGGTCACCACGATGCAGTCTCCACCGGACACCTCGGAAAGCCGGTTCAGCACATACTGCGGCAGCAGCTCCTCGGACTCTCTGATGAACAGCGACGGATGCTCGGCTTTTAGTTCCTCCAAGCGGCGGTGCCAGTCGATGTGCACATTGGGCTCGACCAACGGCATCAACTGCTTCAGCACCATTTTGAGGTCCCCGACAACCGGCACGGTCGCCTTGACGTTCTTGTCCAGTTCGGAGGCGTCCACGTCGATATGGACCACCTTGGCATTGGGGGCGAAGTCCCGGAGCCTGCCGGTAACGCGGTCGTCGAAGCGCATTCCCAGGGCAATGAGCAGGTCGGCCTGGTCAATGGCCAGGTTGTTGTACGCCATCCCGTGCATGCCGGGCATTCCCATGTTCAGCACGTGGTCCGTCGGGATGGAACTGATACCCAGCAAGGTGGTAATTACCGGGATCTGGGCCCTTTCGGCCAGTTCAATCAGTTCGTGGTAGGCCTGTGAGATGAGCACGCCGTGGCCGGCCATTATTACCGGCCGCTCAGCCTGGTTGATGAGTTGGGCGGCAAGAGCAACCTGCTTCATAGGGGCTTCGCCCGGGGGATGGTAGCCAGGCAGGTTGGGCTTGTCGGGCCAGACAAACTCCGTCCGCAGGTCCTGTAGCACGTCTTTGGGGATATCCACCAATACCGGTCCGGGGCGGCCGGTTCGGGCGATGTGAAAGGCCTCCTTGATGGCCGGGGCGACATCCTCCACTTCCATTACCAGGAAGTTGTGCTTGGTGATGGGCAGAGTAATGCCGGTAACGTCCGTTTCCTGGAAGGCGTCGCGACCGATGGCCCCGCGGGGCACCTGCCCGGTTATGGCGACCAAAGGCACTGAGTCCATCTGGGCTGTCGCAATTCCGGTCACCAAATTTGTGGCTCCGGGACCGCTGGTGGCCGAGCAGACACCCACGCGACCCGTGGCCCTGGCGTACCCGTCAGCGGCCATGGCGGCCGCCTGCTCGTGCCGTACCAGTACGTGGCGCAGGCCAGGGTACTTTGCCATCGCGCCGTACAGAGGCAGCACCGCCCCGCCGGGAAGCCCGAAGACGATTTCCACTCCCTCTTCCAAGAGGCTCTCGCAGACAATCTCAGCGCCGCTAAGTTTCATTATTCCTGCTTGATGGCCGACTTGCGTTGACAGCCAGCCTTTCTGTTAAGGCTTGCAACTGGGCAATAAAAAACACCCATCCCAACATGAAGGGACGGGTGTGGCCCGCGGTACCACCCTTCTTCCCCGACGCAAAACGACGGCATTATCATCAGCACGCCGCCCTACCCGGGGCTACTTTCAGGACTCTTTAACGGTGTCACCCGCCGCGCCCTGCTCCCCCGACATAGTCGAGGACATCAGGCGGGCCGCTCCCGGCGAGTTCACGACGCTGCTGCCACCGGCTCGCACCCACCGCCGGCTCTCTGAGACAGGCCATCGCTAATACTCCCGCTCAACGCGGATTTAGCAGGCTAAATGGTATCAGTCGCCCAATCCAGTGTCAACGGTATAAATCCTGTTTCCCACAGGCATATTTCAGAGGCGAAACGGGCTGGCAGCTATTCGGAAGAGCCCTTGAGCATGGCACAGCCCGTTACTCCCAGTGTCAGAGGCAATAGGGTGTCTACCACTGCCCAGATTACCCAGGCCTGATGGTTTCCATCAAGGCTGCTTGCTCCGTTGTAGAGGAAGGAAAACCAGCTGTGGAGAAATAATATCGTGATGCCCGCTGTCAGGAAAAAGGCTGTATTGACCTCCAGGTATCGGCGGCTGATGGGCTCCCCTGGCGACCTTCCATCTTCTCTCCGCTTCCTGTCCCAGTTGAACGCTATAGCTACAGCCAGCCCTATGGCCATGAGGATGTCCAGCACGAACCAGACATCTGCAACGTCCAACGAATTGACAAAGAATGAATTGATGGAGAACCAGACCGCCACAACCGTGGCGACTCCTATCAGGTACATCCCGGACAATTTCTTGATCCCTTCCACGTGACCTCCGGACCGAAATGACTTCACCTCGCCCAAGGTCAAGAGCCTTTGCACCGAGGCTAAAATGAACCTGGACTCATATATTCTGACACTTCCTTATGTTAAAATTGGTGCCTACAGGCCCCCAGTTCCTTGCGATTCTGCGTACTTCTCGCCTCAGTGCGATATGGATTTGCCCAGTGTCTGAGAGCATTCTCGTAGCCGTCGCCTGGCCTTACGCCAACGGTCCCCTGCACCTTGGGCATGTGGCCGGCTGCTACCTGTCCGCTGACATCTTCGCTCGCTACCACCGCCTGAAGGGCAACCGGGTGCTGATGGTCTCAGGCAGCGACACCCACGGCACTCCCATCACCATCCGGGCCGATCAGGAGGGAGTTACGCCCGCCGAGGTCGTCGACCGCTATCATGCACTGTTCCTTGAATCGTGGGAAAAGCTGGGGATCTCCTTCGACCTGTTCACTCACACCAACACTGACAATCACGAGGCCGTAACCCACGACATTTTCAAAACGTTGTTCGACAAGGGCTACATCTACACCGACAACACGCTGCTGGCGTACTGTGGTCAGTGCGTCCGCTTCCTTCCCGATCGCTACGTCGAGGGCACCTGCCCCCACTGCGCGAATACCCGCGCCCGGGGAGACCAGTGCGACGCCTGCGGGCGCACCCTGGACCCCCAGGATCTCGTGGAGCCTCGCTGTGCCCTCAGCGGAGACACGCCGGAATTTCGCGAGTCTGAGCATTTCTTCTTGCGGCTTTCCGCTTTCCAGGAGCCGTTGCTGGAATGGGTAAACAAGCAGTCCCACTGGCGTGCCAACGTCCTCAATTTCACCCGCAGATTTCTCGAGGACGGCCTGCACGACCGGGCTATATCCCGTGACCTGGACTGGGGAGTTTCCATTCCGTTGGAAGGATATGAGTCCAAGAAAATTTACGTGTGGTTCGAGGCGGTGATCGGCTATTTGTCGGCGGCAGTGGAGTGGGCCAAGATTCAAGGAGAACCGGATAGCTGGCAGGATTTCTGGAAAGATCCAAAGAGCCGCTCCTATTACTTTATCGGGAAGGACAATATACCTTTCCACAGCATCATTTGGCCGGCGATGATAATGGCCTACGGAAACGATCTGAATCTGCCCTACGACGTGCCCGCAAATGAGTTCCTGAGCCTGGAGAACCAGAAATTCTCCACCAGCCAGAACTGGGCCGTCTGGGTGCCCGACTACCTTGAGCGCTACGACCCCGACCCGCTGCGGTATCTGCTCTCGGTGAACATGCCCGAGTCGGGGGACTCCGACTTCTCCTGGGGCGAATTCGTCCGCCGGAATAACGAAGAATTGGTGGCGACTTACGGCAATCTCGTCAACAGGGTACTGACCTTCGCTTACCGCAACTTCGACGGCCGCATCCCCACGCCGGGCGTACTGGACGAGACCGATCAGGCTATGCTGGAGGCTGCCCGCGCGGCGATGGCTGAGGTGGACGCGAGCCTCTACGGATGCCGGTTCAAGGCGGCAATATCCCGAATCTTCGCCCTGGCCCAGGATGCCAACCGGTACCTGGACACCAAGGCCCCATGGCGCAGCATCAAGGAGGATCGCGAGTCCGCTGCCACCAGTCTCTGGGTGTCCATCGCAGTCATCAGCTGCCTCAAGACACTCCTGCACCCCTTCATGCCTTTCAGTTCCCAGCGCCTCCACGAATACTTGGGACAGGATGGCCGGGTCGAGGATGGCAGTTGGGATTTCGACGCTGCCGTCGCCGCAGTGGCAGGCGGACGAGAAATGCGCCGTCCTGCTCCTCTGTATAGTAAGCTTGAGCCAGAGGTTATTGATCAGGAAGTCGCCCTCTTGGGCGTTTCTGCCAGTTAGGGACACCGGCGGCTCAATGCTTTACGGACTCGACGAACGCACAGCGTCCATCTACGCCCCTATTCAAGCCGAGCTCGCCATGGTGGACGAAAAGCTCCGCAGCCTCGCACCGGCAGAAGTTGGGCACCTCCGCCCATTGCTGGATTACGTGGCCGAGTCCGGCGGCAAACGGGTCCGTCCTGCGATCACCCTGTTGGCCGGCCATCCCTACCCCCATGATCCCGCCAATCTGGTTTTGATGGCTGGTGCCGTGGAATTGCTGCACCTGGCTACTCTCATTCACGACGACACTGTGGACGACTCGCCGACCCGCCGGGGTAGGGCAACCGTGGGCAGCGTGTGGGGGAACCAGGTGGCGGTGCTTTTCGGTGATTACGTGTTTGCCACCTCGGCCACATTCGTTTGCGACACCGACAATATTCGAATCATGCGCCGCTTCTCAGAAACGATAATGGATCTTGCCAGCGGCGAGCTGATCGAATATTTTGGCGCATTCGATGCCAGCCAGGCCCGCGAGGTCTACAACGACCGCATCTACCGTAAGACGGCATCCCTGTTCTGCACTGCGGGCGAGTCCGGTGCTCTGCTGGCAGGGGCGCCCGAAGACGTTGTTCAGGCCATGCGCCGCTACGGCTACAATATAGGCATGGCCTACCAGGTGGGCGACGACTTGCTGGACTTTGAGGGAGATGCGACCGATTTGGGCAAGCCGGTGGGCTCGGACCTGTTGCACGGGGTCCTGACCCTGCCCACGATTATGCTGGAGGAACGCTACCGGGACGACAGGCCCGTCTCCTCCTTCTTCCAGGACCAAGGCAATCCCGCCAAGCTGCAACGCGTCGTGGATATGATCCACAACTCGTCCATCATCAACGATTGCGAGAACGTGGTGCGCGACTATTGTAGGCGAGCATGCGAGGAGTTGGAGGTGCTTCCGAACGGGGAGGCTCACCGTTCCCTTCAGGATCTGGCCGAGTACGTCTTTAACCGCAGGCGATAACTCAAAGCCAAGTCTCAGCGTGATTTCTCGCGCTTGACGTAATCCGTGGAGCTTGGCTACACTTTCGCCATTCCGGTGCGCCGTTCTTCCTTTGCATTTGCGGCGATATTTACGACCCTTTCGGATTGATTTATGTGCGGCGTCAGCGGCATCCTGCATAAGATAGTGGCATCGGCTAGTGGATTGGCGCCAGTGGGTGAGCAGCTCATCCGTATGCTGGAGCCGATGACCCACCGCGGAATGGACTCCAGCGGAGTCACCATTGTCGGCGAACAGCCCGAAGGCGACCTTCTCGTTCGAATTTGGACCGACAGCGTTCGGAACGCGCCCGACGTGCTCGCCCGAGCTGAGGACACCGTGAGACTAGTAGGGGGAGTTGTCTGCTCCAGCCGACACACGGGACAGTTCATCCGCATTGTGGCCAACTATGAAGGCGAGACTCAGGAACTGGCGGCCGCGCTGCTGGAGACCCCGGGCGTCGCGCTCCATAGCATCGGCTGCACCTCCGAGGTCATCAAGGACGTTGGTACCCCCATGGCCATGGATGAGCGGCACGACATCGGCGCCATTCGTGGCACCCATGGGATTGGACACGTGCGCATGGCCACCGAGAGCATCGTAGACGTCAATCACGCCCACCCCTTCTGGGCCTATCCCTTCCCCGACGTTTCGGTGGTCCACAATGGGCAACTGACCAACTACCACAAGCTGCGCAGGATGTACGAGGACGATGGCCACCATTTCCAGACCGGCAACGACTCGGAGCTGATCGCGGTTTACCTTGCCGACAAGCTGGCCCATGGAGAAGGCTTGGAAGACGCGCTGCGGGCATCCCTCGCTGATCTTGACGGCACGTTCACCTATCTCGTCGCTACCCGCGAGGGGCTGGGATACGCCAAGGACGAATGGTCGGCAAAGCCCCTGGTGACAATGGAGACGGACGATATAATCGCCATAGCGTCGGAAGAGATCGCCCTACGTGGCATCCTGCCCCCCGAAATGGCAGGCGAAGAGATGGGCCGAGTTGAACCTCAGAATAGCGAGGTTAGGACCTGGTTACTATAGACGCCTCCGAACTGGACACCAGGGCATTTAACGTCCATCTCAAAGAGCTGGCAACGTCGGGAAACGAGGTAACCGTCCTGAATCCCAATGCTCGCCACAATCTGGGTGTGGGCATATTCGAGAATTGCAGCATTCGCTTCGCCGGAAGCGTTGGCTACTACGCGGCGAGCCTGCTGGACGGGCCTGAGGTGGTAATCGAGGGAAACGCTGGCTGGGCCGTGGGCGACAACCTGATGAACGGCAAGATCAGCGTCACCCGGGATGCGGGAGCGTCGGCTGGCTCCACCATGCGCGGTGGTGAACTCTTCATCGGAGGGAATGCCGGGGCTAGGGCCGGCATTTCGATGAAGGGCGGCTCCTTGGTGATTGGCGGTAACGCCGGATTTCTCACCGGTTTCATGATGCAGAAAGGGCGGATCATAATCTGCGGCGACGCCGGAGAAGCATTGGGCGACTCGATGTACGAGGGAACCATTTACGTGGCCGGCAACATCGCCTCCCTGGGGGCCGATGCCACGGTTGAGCCGATGAGCGAAGACGAGCTCATTGACGTGCTGGCAATCCTCGAATCGAAGGGAATCACAGACAAGCGCAGCTTTACCAAGGTTGTTTCGGCAAAACGCTTCTACAATTACGACTCCTTGGAGAGACTGGAAAAATCGGCGCTCTAGAGAGCTCACGAGCTTTCCTTTGAGCCTGGAATATGGCGGACGGACGATCACAGCGGGGGGCGGACTTCTTCTATGGTAATGGGCAGCAGTCAGATCTGGTCTCCCTGGATCATGGACGATATCCACGCCAAGGCCGAGTTGGGTCGCTATCGCATACGCGGCTTTTCGTCTTTCCAGAAAGTCACGCATTTTGACGACCTGACATTCCTCTCCACTGGCCTGACCAGATTTCCGCTGGAGGGCTACAAGGAGCGCTGCAACACTCGCACCGTCATCGGTGCCCGCAACGCCGAGAACCCGCTGATTCTGGAGACTCCTATATACATCAGCGGCATGAGCTACGGAGCCCTTTCAGCCAACGCCAAGGTTGCGCTCGGCAAGGCTGCGGCAATGGTCGGGTCGGCAAGCTGCACCGGCGACGGCGGTATGCTGCCGGGGGAGCGGGCCGCCTCAGACAAGCTGATCTACCAGGTCCTGCCCAGCCGTTACGGATTCAACCCCCATCACCTCTTGGACGCCCAGGCTATAGAGATCGTCGTTGGACAGGGCGCCAAACCCGGTACCGGCGGCATGCTGATGGGTGTCAAAGTGCAGGACGACGTGGCCGAGATGCGCGACCTGCCTCTTGGTATCGACCAGCGCAGCCCGGCGCGTCATCCGGACTGGCTTGGGCCCGATGATCTGGCCATCAAGATAGAGCAATTGCGCGAGGCGACAGACTGGCAGGTTCCCGTCCACGTGAAGCTGGGGGCCTGCCGGGTGGACGACGATGTGAAGCTGGCAGCCAAGGCAGGCGCCGACGCTATTGTCATTGACAGCATGCTTGCGGGGACCGGCGCCTCGGCCGAGGTCCTGCTGGAACACAGCGGCATTCCCACCGTTCCTGCTATTGTCATGGCCCGGGAGGCCCTGCGAGAGCTGGGCCTGTACGGCAAGGTGAGCTTGATCGCCTCCGGAGGCATCCGCAGCGGCGCGGACGCCGCCAAGGCCCTCGCCCTTGGGGCCGACGCTGTCGCCATCGGCCTGGGAGCGTTGATTGCACTCAACTGCAACAAGGAGATACCAGAGAGCAATTTCCAGGAGGAAGTCGGCGTCCCGGCTGGGTACTGCCGCTTCTGCCACACGGGCAAATGCCCCGTCGGTATCGCGACCCAGGACCCGTTGCTTATGGCCAGGCTCGACCCGGACGAGGGCGCGGAACGGGTTGCAAACTTCATCAACTCCATGACCATGGAGATGACCTTGCTCACCAGGTCGCTGGGTAAGGGAGACGTCCACAGTCTGGAGCCGGAGGACTTGGCGGCCCTGACCCTGGAGGCCTCGGCCATGGCCCGCGTTCCACTGGTCGGAACCAATAAGGTATTCGGCGAGTAGGCGGTTTGTCGAACCCATGGTAATGCAGTTCTTCAATCCAAACCCGGAGTTGGATCGCTATCGGGGAGCCTTGCTCGGGCTGGCCGCGGGGGATGCCCTTGGGGCGCCCGTTGAATTCATGCGGCCCGGAAGTTTCGAACCGGTAACCGAGATGATGGGTGGCGGGCCTCATGGCCTCATGCCGGGTGAATGGACTGACGACACCTCTATGGCTCTCTGCCTCGCGGAAAGCCTTATAGAATGCCGGGGATTCGATGCCGTAGACCAGTTGCAGAGATACGTCCGCTGGTGGCAGTACGGACACCTCAGCAGCACTGGTCTGTGTTTCGACATCGGCTTCACCACACGGGATGCCTTGGAGGGCTTTCAGGCGACGGGACTGCCCTCAGGCCTGACGTCCCCCGACAGCGCGGGCAATGGCTCGATCATGCGCCTGGCGCCGGTTCCCATGTTCTACGCCCTTAACATGCACGACGCCGTTGAATTCGCGGGACAGAGTTCTGCCACCACCCACGCGGCCGAGGAGGCCGTGAATGCCTGCCGATTCATGTCGGCGGTCATTGTCCGTGCCCTCTTGGGTTCCAGCAAGGAGGATGTGCTCGCCCCGCCCGTTGCCGATGATTTGTCGGACGGGATCAGGAGAGTAGCCTACGGATCGTTCAGAATCTTCAGCCCACCGCAGATCAGGGGCAGCGGCTTCGTGGTCGAATCCTTGGAAGCCGCGCTGTGGGCGTTCCACAACTCCGACAACTTCGCCGACGGCGCTACGTTGGCGGTAAGTCTGGGCGAGGATACGGACACCACAGCGGCAGTCTACGGTCAGATCGCCGGCGCCTACTATGGGGCCAGCCGCATACCGAGAGATTGGGTCAATGCCCTGGCGCGGCGAGATATGATCATCGATTTTGCAGATCAGCTGTACGACTTGAGACCCCTGTCGTATCCGGGTGAATGGGGAACATCGGAACCCGCCTCATAATGCGGGTTCGGGTGCTGTAGGCTACACCCTTGAACGAGGAGCGAGCGGAATGACCGGCAGGAAAGAAATCGCCCAGCGCATGCAGGACGACGGCATCCGCTATCTGTTGACCCAGTTCGTTGACCTCAACGGCTCCCCCAAGGCCAAGATGGTACCGGTGGAGCACTTCGAGGACGTGCTGGACGAAGGCGCCGGTTTTGGTGGCGCCGCCTTGCTCGGCATGGGCCAGGGGCCGCACTCCCACGACATGATGGCCCGCATAGACCTCGATTCCTACACTCCGGTGCCCTGGGACGACGGGCTTGCCCGCTTCGCCAGCGACCTGTTCGTGGATGGCGAGCCGCATCCCTACTGCCCGCGCCAGCACTTCAAGTCAGTGTTAGCCAGCGCCAGGGCCAAGGGCTACGTCTTCAACGTAGGCATCGAGCCGGAGCATTTTTTGGTTACCAGAAACAATGATGGATCGATTCAGGTCTGGGACCCAAACAACATCGACAGCCTGCGCAAACCCTGCTACGACTTCAAGGGCATCGCCAACGTCATGGGTTACTTGCGCGAAATGATGACAGCGATGCGAAAAATCGGTTGGGACGCCTATCAATCGGACCACGAGGACGCCAACGGCCAGTACGAGATCAACTTCCACTACTCCGACGCGCTGACCACCGCTGACCGGTATACCTTCTTCAAGATGATGACCAGCCAGTACGCCCAGAAGCACGGGGCTATAGCCACTCACATGGCCAAGCCGTTCACTGATCGCACTGGCAGCGGCGGCCATATCCACTACCACATAGCCGACTCGGAAACTGGCGAAAACCTGTTCCTCGACGAGAGTGACCGGCGAGGGCTTGGCCTTTCTCAGATGGCCTACAATTTCATCGGTGGCGTGTTCGCCCACGCTCCTGCGCTCTGCAGCGTAATGTCTCCCACGGTGAACTGCTACAAGCGCCTCCAGGTGGGCTCCGCCCTGTTGGGTTCATCCTCTGGATTCCTGTGGACACCTGCCTTCGTGTCCTACGGCGACAACAATCGCACCCAGATGATTCGCACCGCCGGTCCTGGCCATCTGGAAGACCGCACTATGTCCGCAGCCTGCAACCCCTACTTGGCCTTCGGCGCCTACCTGTCCGCCGGACTCGACGGCGTGCGGCGCGGGCTGGACCCTGGTGAGCCCAACCTGGGCAACCTTTACGAACTGGGCTTGGACGAAATACGCCGCCGTGGCGTGCGAATGTTGCCCCAGTCCCTAGCCGAATCGCTGGCCGAACTCAAGGCCGATTCCGTGGTGCAGGAGTCTCTGGGCGTCATCTACGACGAGTTCGTCGATCAGAAAGAGGCTGAGTGGCGGGAATACCACCGCCAGGTCACTCCTTGGGAAAATCGAGCGTTACCTGACGATGTTCTAGTGTGAACTAACGCCACTATGTCCTTTCTCCTGCCTTGCCCCAACTGCGGCGATCGCAGCGTCAACGAGTTCCGTTTCGGCGGGGAGGTCGTTTCTCGCCCAACTCCGGACGCTTCGGCGGAGGCGTGGAGCAGCTACTTCTATTTCCGCCCCAACGTCGCGGGTGAACAGCGTGAGTGGTGGAACCACCGCTACGGGTGCCGTCGATGGTTCTACGCTTTGCGAGACACCACGAGCAATGAGATACAGGCTACCTATTGGCCGGGTGAGCAGTCTCCCGCCACAACTTCCTAAGTTTTCATCTCCTGAACTTCTCCCAAGGCGGGGATATGCCCTCAAGTGAAATTCACCGTCGGTCTCGTATCGACCCGCGCCCGGCAGAGGCGATCGACCGCTCGGCGCCCGTGGAGTTTGGGTTTGACGGCAGGCGCATTCTGGGATTCAAGGGTGACACGGTGGCCTCCGCCCTATATGCCGATGGTACCCGCGTCTTTCAGTCGCAGCTTCAAGTACCACCGGCCCCGCGGTTTACTCTGCTGCTCCGGCAATTGCCCCAACTGCCTGGTGACGGTCGCCGACGAACCCAATGTTCGCGCCTGCACCCGTCCGATAGAACCAGGACTGGAAGTCAGGAGCCAGAACTCTTGGCCCTCGCTCGGCTTCGATCTAATTTCTCTTCTCGACCGGCTGCACTGGCTGATGCCCGTGGGCTTCTATTACAAGGCCCTGCACAGTCCAAAGCTTCTGTGGCTGCTGGCCCGTCAGCTCATCCGCCGTGTTGGGGGGCTTGGCAGCATCGACATCAACGCCCATCACGAACACCAATACAGCACCCGCAACCTGCACGCCGACGTGGCAGTGGTGGGCGGTGGTCCTGCCGGAATATCCGCGGCCATGGTGGCGGCAAGCCAAGGAGCTCAGGTGGTGCTCATCGACGACCAGCCAGCCCTAGGCGGCCACCTCCGATACAGCAGCCAGGAGGTAACTGCCGCCACCGGAAGCGAACCAAAGCCTGCTGCTCAGGTTGCCGGAGAACTTGGTGACGCAGTAGCCCAAATCCCGAATATCGACCTGCTTTGCGGAGCCACCGCTTTTCGGGCTGTACCAGGACAACCTGCTGGCTGTGCTGACCGAGGACGGCGTGGTCAGGATCCGAGCCAGGCACGTGGTTCTGGCTACAGGTGCGCAGGAATCGCCTCTGCTGTTCGATAACAACGACCTCCCCGGAGTGATGCTGTCCTCGGCGGCACGACGCCTGATCTCCCTGTACAGCATTCGGCCTGGTAAGCGGGCCATTGTGGCAACGGAGACGGAGGAGGGCTACCAGGCCGCGCTCGACCTCTTGGACGCGGGCATAGCTGTGGCCGCCGTGGTGGATGCCTCAGAGACGACGTCCGATGAGGTTGTGCAAACAGTGCGAAGCCGGGGCATCGAGGTGCTGACTGGCCATCGTGTGGTGAAGGCCGAGGGTCGAGGTAGAGTCAAAGCTGCACTGGTTGCTCCCGTGGGCGGCTCTGGCTCCGGTTCCACTCGCAAGATTCGCTGCGACGTCCTGTGCATGTCGGGAACCCGGAATCCGGTCGATGCCCTGCTGCACCAGATGGGAGCCTCCCAGGAGGGGGTTACCTTGGCAGGGCAGATCAATGGCGCCACCGGCTTGTTGGAAATTCTCGGCCAGGGCAGGGGTGCCGGCCTGCACGCGGCAGGCTCGGTCGCCGTTCCTCCCGGAAATCCGGTGCAGACCTGCCAAACTACTGAATCTACCATCTACCTGCCCCCGGGCGTGGGCGGACGCACCTACGTTTGCTATTGCGAGGACGTCTCCGCGCACGACATCGAGCAGGCCATCGACGAGGGGTTTGCCGACGTACAGACCCTCAAGCGCTACACCACCGTCACCATGGGCCCCTGCCAAGGCAAAATGTGCGGTCGTGCTCTGGCCGAAATTTGCGCCTCCCACAGCGGCTCCGCATTTGGAATAGGCGGCGGAGACACACGTACCACCTTCCGTCCGCCCTACCAGCCGGTTACCTTGGCGGCTTTGGCCGGTCGGGAACGGATGCCGTTCAAGCGAACGGCCTTGGACCGCGTTCACCGTGACCTCGGCGCCAGGATGGTCGAGTCCGGCCCATGGCTCCGTCCCCACAGCTACGGTTCGCCCGCCGACGAATGCGCCGCCGTGCGAGAACGTGTCGGCATCATCGACGTCGGCACGTTGGGCAAGCTGGAGGTCGTGGGGGACGATTCGGGTCAGCTGCTCGATCGCTTGTACACCCATCGCTTTTCCGACCTTCCCGTCGGGCGCATCCGCTACGGCTTGATGACATCAGACAACGGCGTCATCCTCGATGACGGCACCGTTACCCGTCTGGCCGAAGACCGTTATTTCGTGACCACCACTTCAGGCAACGCCGATGTCATCGAGGAATGGTTCAACTGGTGGAATGCTGGAGGCAACAACTGCGCCCATGTGGTGAACGTGACCGCCGGTTACGGCGCGGTAAACGTGGCGGGACCGAGAGCCCGCGAGACCCTGGCCAAGCTCACGGACGTCGATCTCTCTCCCCGGGCGTTCCGCTACATGCGCTCGGCCCAAGGTGAGGTTGCCGGCGTTCCCTGCTTGCTGTTGCGGATCGGTTTCGTAGGCGAGGCCGGGTGGGAGGTGCACTTCCCCGCTGAATACGGAGAGCACATCTGGAATTCCATAGCGGAAGCGGGGCGTGAGTTCGGTATTGCGCCCTTCGGCTTGGAGGCGCAGCGAATACTGCGGCTCGAGAAGGGTCACGTCATCGTCGGGCAGGACACCGACGCAGTCTCCACCCCAATGGACGTGGGCTCGGATTGGGCTGTTCGCTTTGACAAGCCCGACTTCATCGGACGTGGCGGTCTCGCGGTTGCAACCGAACGCGGGCTGCAGCAACAATTGGTTGGATTCATAATGCCAGGCGCCGTCGCCCCGGACGACGGTACGCCGGTGTTGAGTGGTGCCAGGCCCGTGGGCCGGGTAACCAGCGCGCGCCTCAGCCCGACCATGGGCCGGGGATTCGGCCTGGCATGGGTTCCCCCGTACCTTGCAGTCGAAGGAGAGACCATTGAGGTACTCGTCGCGGATCGCCCAGTGTCGGCGAGGGTGACCCTCGAGCCTGTCTACGACCCTGAGGGCCACAGGCTGCGGAGCTGACGATGGTTGTCGTACCGGAACGGCGTACTGCCATGTACCACAGCCAACTCGCCATGGGCGCCGAAATGGCCGACGCTGACGGTTGGCAGCTGCCCCTGCACTATGGGCATCCTTCGCGAGAGGATGAATGGCTCCGTGAAACAGTGGGTGTGTCCGACGTGAGCCCCATAGGGAAAGTGCGGGTTGTGGGACACGCAGCCAGCCGAGCTGTGGCCACTCTGGTGCCCCCGGCTATAGAGCAGAGTGTTGGCGCGGTGGTCGAGGCAGACTCCACTCTGGAGCGCGGTGGGAAGCTGCTCTCCGTCAGGCTGGCTCACGACGAGTTCCTCGTCCTGACCCCGGCCGGTGTGGCACCGTCGGCCGTGGACGCGATGGTTCTCAACGACCCGGCTTGCTCCCACGTTCTCGACGTAACATCAGGCCTTTGCGGGGTGGCCATCGTTGGTCCTTCCACGCAGGAACTGATGAGCCGCATCACCGAAATCGACACATCCTCCCGCGCCCATCCTGATCTTGCCTGTGTCCAGTCGCGCTTCGCCGACGTCCAGGGCCTGCTTTTGCGCCGCGACGTCAACGGCGTTCCCATGTACCAGCTATACGCCGGCCGCGAGTTCGGCGAATACCTGTGGGAGGTCCTCGTCGAAACCGCTCAGGAGGTCGGCGGTGGCGCCGTCGGCACCCAAGCGTTGTTGGGATTGAGGGGATCGGGTCAGGAGCAAAGCGTCTAGATGTTTCAGCTTTTTAGAAAGAACCGGATGTGGCAGACCCGGCCCCTTAAGGACCACTATCGCGTGGTCATAATAGGGCGGCGGCGTTCACGGCCTGTCCACCGCGTACTACCTCACCAAGCTGGGCGTCAAGGACATTGCCGTTCTTGACAGGGGCTACCTCGGCGGCGGGGCCAGTGCGCGCACCACGGCAATCATCCGCTCCAACTACCTGACCGTCGAGGGAATCCCATTTTTCGATCAGAGCGTTAAGCTATACGAAGGTCTTGCCAAAGAACTGAATTTCAACATGCTGTTCAACCAGATGGGGCGGCTGGATCTCGGACACACCGACGCTGCCCTGTACGCGCTGCGTATGCGCACCGAATTCAATCGCATCCTCGGCGTGGACAGCAAGATGGTCGGCCCCCAGGAGATCAAGCAGCTCGTCCCCTCGATGAGCCTGCGCGAGGGCCTTTCGTACCCCATTCTCGGAGCGCTCTACCACCCGCCCTGTGGCGTGATCCGCCATGACGCGGTGGTCTGGGGGTTCGGACGGGGCGCGGACCGCGGAGGCGCCGAGCTCCACCCCTTTACCGAAGTTACAGCCATCGACCGCGCCAACGGGCGTGTGACCGGCGTCCAGACCACTCGAGGCTTCGTCGGCGCAGAGATCGTGCTCAACGCCACAGCCGGCTGGAGCAGCGAAGTGGCCCGCCTTGCAGGAGTTGACCTTCCCATCACCACGCACCCCCTGCAGGCGATGGTCACCGAGCCGCTGAAGCCTTTCCTGGACAAGACCATTTCCTCGGCCAACCTACACGCCTATGTCTACCAGACCGATCGCGGTGAGGTTGTTATTGGCGGTGGAGTCGACCCGTACCCGTCCTACAGTATGCGTTCGGCGCTCCTGCCCATGGAGCAACTCGCCGGCCACACCCTCGAAATGTTCCCCTGCCTCTCCAAAGTGAAGGTCCTGCGACAATGGGCCGGCCTCTGCGACATGACGCCCGACTATGCCCCCATAATGGGCCCGGTCGACGGCCTGGACGGATTCATTGTCTCCTGCGGCTGGGGAAGCTGGGGCTTCAAGGCTGCGCCCGCCGCCGGCAAGAACATCGCCAGCCTGATCGCCACCGGCGAAACGCCAGACCTGATCAGGCCCTTTCGATTGTCCCGCTTCCACGAGGGCAAGCTGGTCAACGAACGCGCCGCCGCCCCCGCCGCTGCTATCCACTGAGCGACCAAAACCGTGATTTCCATCCGAGTCTGCCGTTCCTGTTCCTCTCGATAGAGGAGGGCAGTGTAGCTCAGGTGGCGCGGGAACCCTGCCGTAATCCAATGACCGGAGGCTATCCATGAGCGAGGAAATCGTCTACGCCGATGCATCCACCCTGGCCCGGCGCATCCGTGACCGGGAGTTGTCTCCCGTAGACGTTGTGCAGGCACACCTGGACCGCATCGAGGCCGTCAACCCCCGGCTCAACGCGCTTATCGCATTCCCAGACGGCGTGATGGAGCGGGCGCGGGAAGCCGAGTCTGCAGCCGCACGCGGCGCATTCTGGGGGCCGCTCCATGGCGTTTCCCTTCACTGTAAAGGACTGCGTCGACACTGAGGGCGTGGTCACCACCCGTGGGTCCAGGCTGTTCGAAGACCACGTCCCCTCCGCCGACGCCACAGTGGTCAAGCGCCTCAAGGACGCCGGCGGCATCTTCATCGCCAAGTCCAACATGCCCGAGTTCGCGCTCTGGTGGGAGACCGACAATCTGGTCTACGGTCGGACAGAGAACCCATGGATGATCGGCCGTACTCCCGGCGGCTCCAGCGGCGGAGAGGCCGCAGCCGTCGCCTCGGGCATGTCGCCGCTGGGCATCGGCAGCGACGTGGGCGGTTCCATCCGCGAACCTGCCAACTACTGCGGAATCGTCGGCCTCAAGGCCACTCACGGTCGCATCCCCCTGACGGGGCACTGGCCCGACACTCTGTTGCGGTTCATGCACGTCGGACCCATCGTCCGCAGCGTCGCCGACGCCGCGCTCGCTTTGAGCCTGATGGCCGGGCCCGACGGCATCGACCATTACGCCCTGCCGGTACCGGTGCCGGACGCTTCGAAATTCCAGTCTCCGGCCGGACTGCGGGTCGCGTGGTGCCCGAAGGGTCCCTTTTCTCCAGTGGAGCGGCAGGTGCAGGACACCGTTGCCTCCGCAGCCTCCGCATTGGGTGAGTTGGGTTGCTCAGTGGAAGAAGTGGGGCTGGACGGCTGGGATAGCTGGCCGGGCCAGCAAATCTCCGCCCGCATTTTTGCCGCCGAGGGGAATGTGTTCCTGGCCCCCATTATCGAGGGCCGCGAGGACATGCTCGCCCTCTCCATGCAACGTCGCCTGAACATTCCCGGGCCCACCTACGATGAATACCTGGAGGCGATGGAGCAGGTTGAGCGGCTGCGCGCCGCCTGTATCAAGCTGTTCAACGACTATGACGTTCTGCTTCTCCCCACCGGCCCCGTGGTCGCCCACCCTCATGACACCCGGCGCCACGAGATCGCTGAAGAAACGGCCCCCGCCCGCCACGCCCTGACCTGCACCGTTCCTTTCGATCTCACCGGCTCCCCCGCCCTGTCCGTACCCTTCGGCCGGAGCAGCGACGGCCTGCCCATCGGCGTGCAGATCGTCGGCCGCCATTTCGAGGAGGCCACAATCCTGCGGGCCGGCGCCGCACTGGAGGAACTGCACCGGCCTCGTAGGGGTCACCCTCCACTGTAATTCGGACTGCGCCCAGGATACTGGCAGCTCCTCCAGTCCCTCCGAGGAACGAATGGGATGGGGATGCATTATTGTGTGGTAAACTTCGGCGCATCAGAGCCCACACGTTACGAAACACAGTGGAGGTATAGGAATGCCAGAATACGACCTCGTAATACGCGGCGGTACCGTCGTCGACGGCACCGGCACCCCCCGCGTCCGCGCAGACCTCGGCATCAAGGACGGCCGGGTCGCAATGGTCAGTGGCCGCATCCACGGCCATGGAGCCAGGGAGCTCGACGCCACCGGCTGCATCGTGGCCCCTGGTGCCATCGACCTGCACACCCACTACGACGCCCAGCTCAACTGGGACCCCTACGCCTCCCTCTCCGTCAGTTCGGCGTCACCTCCCTGACCGTCGGCCAGTGCGGCTTCGGCTTCGCCCCGACCCGGCCGGAGGACCGCGACCTCAACATGCGGATGATGAACCGCATCGAGGCCATTCCTCTTGAATCCATGCGCCAGGGCATGCGCTGGGACTGGGAGACCTTCCCAGAATATATGGACAGCTTGGAGCGCCAGGGCCTCGGCGTGAATGTGGGCTGTGTGGTCCCCTTCTCGCCCCTGCGTGGCTACGTGCTGGGCATGATCCCCGCCCGCGAGCGCACCTCGGTGACCGAGGACGAGCTCAACCAGATGAAACAGATCCTTTACGATGCAATGAAAGCTGGTGCTTTCGGTATCTCCGCCGACAAGAACCTCGAGGACCGCCCCGAGGACGGCAGCTGGCTGCCCAGCCATGTGGCCTCCCGCGAGGAATACCTGGCCCTCGCCCAGGTGCTCGGTCAATTCGGCGTCGGCCACATCGGCTGGACCATCGGCATCTCCGACGACCGCCCGGCCCAGCGCGACATGCTGGCTGAGATGGTACGGATGAGCGGCCGTCCCCTCCACGTCATCCTCGGGGACGCCGAGGGCTACGAGTGGCTCAAGGAAGTCCGTGAGGAAGGCCTCCCTGTCATCGCTCAGGAAACCGCAGTCCCCGTCGTCGCTGAGTTCAAGCTCTCCGAGTACAACCTCTTCGACTACATGCCCCACTGGGTGCAGCCCCTGGTCGGCAGCAAGGAGGAGCGCGTCGCCAAGTTGTCAGAGGACGGCGTTCGCGTTGGCATGAAGCAGGACGTCATCGAGCGCCCCCATGTCCGCACCGACTGGAGTCAGGTACAGGTCGTCGAGGTGGCCTTCGAGCGCAACCTGAAGTACGAAGGTCTCAGCATCGCCGACATCGCCGAGGCAGAGGGCAAACATCCTTTGGACGCATTCTTGGACATCGCGCTGGATGAGGACCTTGAGACCGAATTCGCCCACCCGGCCGGTGGACGTGGCGAGAACGAGTCTCACTACATCACCAGCCCCTACTCCCACATCTCGGTGTCCGACGGTGGCGCCCACACCAGGTTCCTGATCAACAGCACCTGGCCGGTCTACTTTCTGGGCCACTGGATCCGGGAAAAGAACATCATGAGCCTCGAGCAGGCCCACCAGAAGATGAGCGCCATGCCGGCATGGGTCGCCGACATGAAGAACCGTGGCACCATCCGCATCGGCGACTTCGCTGACATAATGGTCTACAACATGGACGAGCTGGGCCTCCTCTACGACAAGCCCCAGTTTGCCACCGACTTCCCCGGCGGCGAAAAGCGCCTGGTCCAGATGCCCACTGGCATACGCTACATCCTGGTCAACGGCACCCTCACGTTCCAGGAGAACGAGTGCACCGGCGCACTGCCCGGCAACCTGCTGCGCAGCTACGACCAGGTCGGCTAGTACTCAGACATACCGGACAACCAGGGGCTCTGCCATTTATGGCAGGGCCCTAATAATTTCGTGCCCTCCCGCCAGCGCGGGGTCGTTTTCTACACACTTCACCACAAAAACGATACCCTGCCCTGCTACCCAGGCAATCGCATTTGGACAATTTGATGACACAGGGCAATCGCGTCTTAAACGTCGGAGGCCCTATAAGTCGTCATTCCCGCGAAAGCGGGAATCCAAACCCCGTCTACCCTCGCACCCGGAACCGAAGGAGGCACTGCCACTCCCATCTCCATTCAGACCATTTTTTTGTGCTGAGTAAGCGGGACCCACGATTCGGCCTTGATTTCCTGCTTGTGTGGTCCCATTCGAAGAGCTCCCAAGACCCTATCTTCACCCACTCTTGATTGACTATGTTTTGAAGGATATCTTTCGGTAAATTCAGACAGATTGCAACGTTGTTCGACTATTTTGAGTTACCAGCCGTCGGGAATTCGTAGCAGATTGACACTGGTTTGTGCCAAGCCTAAACTGCCTTGAACACATCTGAGAGATCACAAAGTCGACCCTAGGTCTTGGAGGTTTTGCCATGGCGGAATTTGATCTCGTAATCCGCGGCGGCACCGTGGTGGACGGTACCGGCATGCCACGCATCCGCGCCGATCTGGCTATCAAGGATGGCAGGGTGGCCATGATCAGCGGGCGCATACACGGCGCTGGCGCCAAAGAACTCGATGCCACCGGCTGCATCGTGGCCCCCGGCGCTATCGACCTGCACACCCACTACGACGCCCAGCTGAACTGGGACCCCTATGCAACCCTGTCCGGCTGGTTTGGCGTTACTTCTTTGACCGTGGGCCAGTGCGGTTTCGGCTTCGCGCCCACCCGCCCTGATGACCGCGACCTTAACATGCGGATGATGAACCGCATCGAGGCCATCCCCCTGGAATCCATGCGTCAGGGCATGCGCTGGGACTGGGAGACCTTCCCTGAATACATGGATAGCCTCGACCGCCAGGGTCTCGGCGTCAATGTGGGCTGCGTGGTCCCCTTCTCGCCCTTGCGCGGCTATGTGCTGGGCATGATCCCCGCCCGCGAGCGCACCTCCGTCACCGATGCCGAGCTTAACCAGATGAAGCAGATTCTTCACGATGCCATGACGGCTGGAGCTTTCGGCATATCCGCGGACAAGAACCTCGAGGACCGCCCCGAAGATGGTAGCTGGCTCCCCAGCCACGTGGCCTCCCGCGAGGAATTCCTCGCCCTCTCCCAGGTACTCTCCCAGTTTGGCGTCGGCCACCTCGGCTGGACCATCGGCATCTCCGACGACCGCGCTGGACAGCGAGAAATGCTGGCGGAAATGGTGCGGATGAGCGGCCGGCCGCTCCACGTCGTGCTCGGTGACGACGAGGGCTACAACTGGCTGGACGAGGTACAGGCCGAGGGCTTGCCGGTGCTGGCTCAGCTCGGCCCGGTGCCCACCATATCGGAGTTCAAACTCTCCGAGTACAACCTGTTTGACTACATGTCCAACTGGGTGCAGCCTCTGGTTGGTACCAAGGAGGAGCGCATCGCCAAGCTCTCCGAGGACGGTGTCCGCATTGGCATGAAGCAGGATGTCCTTGATCGCCCGCACCCCCGCACCGACTGGACGAGGCTGCAGGTCGTAGAGGTTGCCCACGAGCGTAACCTGAAGTATGAAGGCCTGAGCATTGCCGACATCGCCGAGGCCGAGGGCAAGCACCCGCTGGACGCTTTCCTCGACATTGCCCTTGACGAGGATCTCGAGACCGAATTCGCCCATCCCTCCAACAACCGGGGCGATGACGTCACGGCGGAAAGGCTGAAGAATCCCTTCGTCCACATCTCGGTTTCGGACGGCGGAGCCCACACCCGGTTCTTGGTCAACAGCGTATGGCCGGTTTACTTCCTGGGCCATTGGGTCCGCGACCCGTGGGCTGATGTCCCTTGAGCAGGCTCACTACAAGATGAGCGCCCTGCCCGCTTGGTTCTCCGACATGAAGAACCGTGGCACCCTCCGCGTTGGCGACTTCGCTGACGTCATGGTCTACAACATGGACGAGCTGGGCCTGCTCTATGACAAGCCTCAGTTCGCCACCGACTTCCCTGGCGGCGAGCGGCGCTTGGTCCAGAAGCCCACCGGAATGCGCTACATCCTGGTCAACGGCGCGCTAACGTTCCAGGACAACGAGTGCACCGGCGCCCTCCCCGGCAAGCTCCTCCGCAGTTACGACCAGATCGGCTAACTCTCTGCGGCACTTGGAGCAAAAAAGGGGCAGCCTGCTGGCTGCCCCTTTACTATCCTGTTTCTGTGGACCTTTTTTCTTAAAGTGGAGTGTAGTCATCTTGGCCGCCCCGCCCGGAGTAGTGCCAACAACATCTCCGTTCACATCATTATCGGCGGACAATCCTTCACCGGTCTCTCAGGTATTCACACTACCCACCCATCTTTGACCTATGGGTGTTTGTACCATCCTACCAGGGTACAGGACCAAGTTTCCGCTACGCCCTACTCGTCCGGCACCAGTGCGACCAGGCGTCCCTCCTGCTGGGTTACCAGGAACACCTTCATCGTCAGGTCCGGATTGTTGACGCAACGGCCGTCGCCCTTTTCGTACTCGTACCCATGCGTATCGCAGACGAACACGTCCTCGCCTACGTCCTCCACCTCGCCGCTTGGTGGGGACACAGGGTCGACAGCATGCGGTAGCCCTCGCCGCCCTTGACCAGGAAGTAGTTGGCGTCGCCCACTTTCACCAGCTTGGGAAGGTCGGTGAAGTCTGATTCAGCGCCCAGGTCGACTCGCACCTTCTTGGAGCGGGCTGATCCGCTGATCTGCCGCATCGTGATCCTGTTGACCTGCCTGTCAGTTGCCATCGGCATCACCCTCAAAGCGAATTGCCGCCAAGTATAGCAGACTCCGATTCACCCGCGACCCGCGCTCGTATTCATTGACGCATTTGGTGACTATCCAATCTATATGGCTCATCTAAGTGCCGCCAACCTTTCTTCCACATTTAGCTCACATTAACTGCACATCGTTGTTGTCGCCCCAATCGTAGCCCCCAACGCAGAGCCCGCCCTTGACCAGATCAGCGCCGGAGCCGGCACGCCACACCCAGGAGCCGACCGACCCTAACCGTTATCCCCCGCGCCATCCGTAACCTGGCCGCAGGCCCCCACCCACCACGTATCACCCCCACCGCCAGTCGTCATTCTCGCGAAAGCGGGAATCCTAACCCCCATCACAACCATAAGAGCAGCAGTCGGGCTGGAGCCTACGCCCTCAAAACGACTTCGGGCGGCCCGTCCCCAAAACTGCTGACATTTGCTCCTTTACAAGCCTCATGACAGATCGCTAGCCTGAATACATCGAAAAGCAACCAGCCCGACACCGAGGGCAGGGCAATCGCGTCTTAAATGCCGGAGGCCCTATAAGTCGTCATTTGTATGTTGCGTGAGTCGTGCGGATTGGCCAGTCTGTGCGGCAAGCCCGGAGGTGCGTCGTCCGTCATTGGGCAGACCAGACAGGCAAGCGTCCGGTTGTGCCGTGCGGGAGTAGGACACCTCCGGGCCAGTGCCACGGCCCTCCGAACGGATACCGGGGGCTTTGGGCCCGCATCAGCAAGTGGGGAGGACCGCCAGGCAATAGTACTGTCAGCTGGGAGGAACAACAATGACTGTGGCAGCGGCTGTTACTGTACCCGGGAGACCTAACAGGCTGGTGGTGGGCATAGACGTGGCCAAGACCCGCTTGGACGCATAGGCTGGCGCTGGCGAGGTTCACTCCTTTGCCAATGATGCGGAGGGGATCGCTGCGATAATGGAATGGCTGGCGGCCCAGGCGGTGGAGTTGGTGGTGTGCGAGCCGACCGGCGGTTACGAGGAACCCATGGTGCGGGGCCTGCGTCAAGGAGGGATCCCGGTCCATATGGCCCATCCCAACAAGGTGCGGGCCTTCGCCCGGGCCAGCGGACGCATGGCCAAGACCGACCGCTTGGACGCCCAGGTGCTCTGTCATTACGGAGAGGTGTTTGCCTCTGCGGAGACTCCTGAGGGGGCAGCATCCGGGGAGGAACCGGAACGGGAGGAACTGCGGGCCTTGCTCCGGCGGCGGCGGCAACTGGTCGACCAGAGAGTACAGGAACGCAACCGCTTGGACCGGGCCTGGAATCCGGGAGTCCGCGCCTCCACCCAGCGCCACATCGACTGGCTGGACCAGGAGATTGCCGCCCTGGACCGGGAATACCGCGAGGCTCTGGAAAGCAGCGAGGAACTGGCCGCCAAGGCTGAGCTTTACCGCAGCGTCCCTGGAATAGGGGCACTGACTGCTGCCACCCTGGTGGCGGATCTGCCCGAACTGGGCCGGGGTGAAAGCAAGGGATTGTGCTCCCTGGTGGGCTTGGCGCCTTGGTCCAGAGACAGCGGCCAGCAACGGGGATACCGGGCGGTGCGCGGCGGACGCAGCGGGGTGCGCCGGGCCCTGTACATGGCGGCCTTGTCCGTGATCCGGAGCCAAGGGGAACTGGCCCGCTTTTACCAGGCCCTGCGAAAACGGGGCAAGGCAGGGAAAGTGGCATTGGTAGCCGTCATGCGCAAACTGCTGCTGCATCTGAACGCCCGCCCGCCGCGCCACGCACGCCATCGCCCGCCGCGCCACGCCCTGGACGCTCAATCACCCCCAACTCTCCCCTGCGCCAAACCCTTGACAAACAACACAGATACTCCCGCGCAGGCGGGAATGAGAATCCAAACCCCCGTCTACCCTCGCACCCGGAGCCGAAGGAGGCACTGCCACTCCCATCTCCATCGCCATTCAGACCAATTTTGTGTGCTGAGTAATAAGACGCGATTGCCCTGCCAATTAGGGCCGTCTCCCAACACGGAGTCGCGCGCAACTCCCAACGGGAAAAGGTAATAGTGAGCGGAAATGAACCGGGAAAATATCCCAAATGACAGCAAATGTCAGGATTTGGCAGGAAAAACAAGGGGTGGCGTTCCGAAGAGCTGAAGCCATGACCCTCTCCGACCCTCTCCCAACTCCGCCGCCGGGTGGATGTCATCACCCGCAAGTACGCCCGCGAGATCGCCATCCATCGCCTGAAGCCCGTCGCCATCTGGATCGCCGATCAGTGGGCCACTGCCCTCGCCAACAGACACCCTGCGCCCAACCCCAGTCCTGCGTCCGCCGGATTGCTGATGCCGGCTTCCGCCTTGAGACCTTCAACATCCTCCCCACATACCTCAGGAACTGCCGGAAATATGACTGGTTTACCGGATGTTCAGGAAATCGTCGAAAGGTTCTTTCTCCCGGCACAAGGTCAACGTGTCCATCGTTCTCCCCGAAATCTACTCCAGGTCTCAGAATGAGGCTGAACAAATCGTCCAGCTCGGCTTGGGCCCAAGTTGGGGCCAGCCCCTCAAAGTACCGAAAACTACCGGAAATTACCGGGAAAATGAAAATAATTCCTACCCAACCGTCATTCCGCGCAGGGCGCAGCCCTCGACCTGATCGGGGGACGGCAGCCCGCACCATACCGACATTACCAGCTATAGGGAATCGGGGCCCGTGCGCCATCGACGGTCAATCGAAACTCCCAGGACCCGAATAAATTGCTCGACCACCTGGAACGGCGCACTACCGACACAGGCAGAGTCATTGATTCGCAGCGTTGGCCGTGGCACAATCAGCAGACAGGAGGCTGTTATGACTACTGAAGCCAACTATGCTGATCGCTACGGGCTCCCACTGACCACCAATTCCCAGACCGCCCTGGCCCACTATGCGGAAGGGCTGGAATTGGCCCTGTCGCAGAACTTTGGGGCTGAGGACGCCTTCGCCAAGGCTATTGAGGCCGATGAAGGATTCGCCTTGGCGCATGCTGCGAAGGCGTTCTTGGAGTTTCTGCGCATAAACGTGCCCGACGCCCGGTCCAGCGCCGAGACAGCTGTCAAACTATCCTCCGGTCTGAGTCGTCGTGAACGGGGATTCGTCGACGTGGTGTCCAAATTCGTTCATGGAGAAAACCACGCAGCGACCGCCGCCGTGCACGAGCATCTGGCCGAATTCCCCCGCGACGCGATGCTTATGCGCTTGGCCCAACGGCTTTACACTCAGGGCTGTGTCGGAATCGGCGCCCCGGACTATCCCCCTAGGTTCTATAAGTTGATGACCGAGGCGGCTCCCCACTACGGTGAGGACTGGGCTTTCATGGGCCAGTACGCTTGGGCTAACCACGAGATAGGCAAGATGGCCGAGGGGATGGACCTTGCCGAGCGCTCGCTGGATCTCAACCCGTCCAATGGCGTGGCTGCTCACTCCGTGGCCCACGTCTACTACGAGATGAGCCAGGACGACGATGGTGCGGCCTTCCTGGGCGGTTGGCTGGAAGACTACGACCGCCGCTCTACCTACCGAGTCCACCTGTCTTGGCATCAGGCGCTCTTCGAATTGGCAATGGGTCGCTACAACCAGGCCTTGGATTGGTATGACCGGGACATTCGGCCTGCGGTGCAGGATCTGAAGTACGCTGCCCTGGCTGACAGCGCCTCCTTGATCTGGCGCATGAAGATCTACGGCGACGTGTCTCCACAGGCTCCTTGGACCGAACTGACAGAGCTGGCGGCTCCAGCCGCTGCCCGGCCCGGCCCATCCTTCCGCGACGCCCATGCCGCTCTGGCCTTCGCCGCCGCCGGCGACGATGAGTCCCTCGGCAAATTGGTCGATGGCCTGCAGGCAATGGCAGACAATGGCGACGCCACGGCCCGTGAGGCTACCCTGCCGCTGATTAGGGGAATCGGTGCCTTTGGACGAGAAGAATACGCAGAGGCCGTGCGCCTTATGGAGCCCGTCTATCCGCAGCTCACCCGTGTCGGTGGCAGCCACGCCCAGCGGTTGGTGTTCGAGGACACGCTGCTGGAGGCCTACCTCCGGGCCGAGGAGTTTGACAAGGCGAAGGGTATGTTGCGGGAGCGGCTGTCGCGCCGCGAGTCCCCTCGCGAACTTTACTGGCTGGCCCGCGCTCAGAAGGGACAGGGCCTCGACGGAGAAGCCAAGGACAACTCGGCTCACGCCAAGGAGATCTGGACCGACGCCGACTCCAACACGCCGGAATACGGACGGTTGACCCAGTTGGCCGCCGACTAGAGAGCAGACAAACATTCGTCAGTCTAGGGGCGAGTTACTAACTCGCCCCTATCTGTTGTCCCAAACTACCGTGCCGCCAACAACCGTCATCAACGGCTTAACGTTCGGAAGTGCCTCATAGTCTATGCTCAGGGGATCGGTATCCACCAAAACGAAGTCAGCCAGTTTGCCGGCGGCCAACGAACCTTTCACTGTCGAAGTGCCTTCCGCCTCAGCCGAGCCCAGTGTGTATGCCCGCAAAGCCTGCCAGACATCAAGAGCTTGCTCCCCGGTGCCTGTGCCGCTCAGAGGCCTCCCGTCTGACGCGCACCTGGTTACAGCGCTGTAAATCCCCGGCCAGGGGTTGGGGTCGATGACAGGAGCGTCCGAACCAAAGGCAATCGTTACGCCGGACCGCGCCAGGGCCCCCGCCGGATACAGGTGCGGCAGCAGCCGTTCCTCAACGTCCACGCGATAGGATGCCCCGCTGTGGTACAGGAACCCCGGTTGAGTAACCACTGTCGCTCCACATTGTCCGATGGCATCGACCAGACCCGGAGCGCCCTCCGCACAGTGCTCGATCCGGTCAAAGAAGTCGGGGTGTCCGTTGTCGCTCAACGTCGCAGCAGCCACCGCGATGGCGGCTTCCTCAATGCAGTGAATAGCCACAGGGAAGCCCGTCCTGTGGGACTCTGAGACAAGCGCCTCCAACTCTGTCGGCGACGGGTGGAGGGAGCCTGAGGACAGGGTCAGCAGGATCTTGGCGTGTCCCAGGCGCAGCCAATGATCCCCAGAACCAAAGACCAAACCTGAAGACACCAACTCATCCAACCGTTCAACTCCGGCAAACATCGTGATCCGGCACGATAGCGCCGCGTCTGCCCGCAGTCTCTGAAGAGTACCCCACCGGTCTACACCGTTGTCGTGGCCAGCGTCCTGTACCGAGGTGATGCCGTAGCCTCGGAGCAATTCACCCGCGGCCCGCATGCTTTCGTCAAACTCCTCGGGGGATCGGGTGCTGCCCAACCGTCCGCGAAGGAAGCCCTGCATTTCATACAGGACCCCGGTCGGTTCACCTGTAGCAGGGTCACGCTCAATGACCCCACCCGGCGGGTCGGGAGTCTCCCCGTCTATGTCCGCCAGCGCCAGCGCTCTGCTGTTCAGTACCGCTGCGTGACCGCTGCGGTGCTCCAGCCAGCATGGGTGGTCAGGTGACGCGATGTCCAGATCGTGGCGGTTGGGATGACGCCGTTCGGCAAGCTGCAGGTCGTAGTATCCAAATCCGCGAATCCAGGCTCCTGTGGCGTAAGTCCGCGCCCTCGCTCGCACCAAATCCTGCAGCCGGGCGATGGACGGGGCGTGTTGCGGCGAACAGTTCAAGTCCTGCAGACGACGGGCCAGCCCGGGAAGGTGGCAATGTGCGTCGTTGAACCCCGGCAACAACGTCAAGCCCTGGCAGTCAATCAGTCTCGTACGGCCGGTGGCCAATAGCCGTATGGATTCATTGCTGCCCACAGCTGCAATGCGATCGCCGCAAATGGCGATCGCCTCGGCCTTCGGATGAGCCGACTCCATGGTAAGCATGTCGGCGTTTACTAGGATGAGACTGGCGATGCCGTTGGGCATGGCTACCGGTCCGGGCTGCAGCGGTTGTGGAAGGGGGAGGTGGGAGCCGCCTGATGCTAGGAGCCGATGGGCAACTGTACAAAGGCCGCGTCGTGCTGCTCGTCGGCGTGGTAAGAGCTGCGTACCAAGGGACCAGAGGCCACGTGTTTGAATCCCATCTCCAGCCCAGCAACACGCAGTTCCTCGAACTCAGTCGGGTGGTAGAAACGGTCAATGGGGATGTGCTTGGCCGATGGGCGTAAATACTGGCCGATGGTCAGCAAGTCGCAGTTCACGCCACGCAGGTCCCGCATTGTTTCCAGCACCTCAGCGGCTGTCTCGCCCATGCCGACGATGATGCCCGACTTGGTGACAGTGGCCCGGATCGAGTTCCTTGGCCTTGGCCAGCAACTCCAGCGAGAGGTTGTAATTGCCCTTGGGGCGTACTCGTGGAAAGACCCGAACGGTGGACTCTATGTTGTGGTTCAGCACCGCCGGCCCCGCCTCGATTACTCGTCTCAAGGCATCCCAGTTACCGGCGAAGTCGGGGATTAACACCTCGACACGGCATTCCGGCAGCACATCGCGGATGCGGTCGATGCACGCTGAGAATATGTAGGCGCCGCCGTCGGGGAGGTCGTCCCGGTTTTACCGAGGTGATGACGCAGTATTGCAGGTTCATCGCCTTGACCGTCTCGGCCAGTCGTTTCGGCTCCTGAAGATCTATGCCAATGGGCCGCCCAGTGGTCACGGCGCAGTAGTGGCATCGCCGCGTGCAGATGTCCCCAAGAATCATGAAGGTGGCTGTCCCGCGTCCCCAGCACTCCCCAATGTTGGGGCAGTGTGCTTCCTCGCAGACCGTGTGCAGCTCCTGGCTGCGCATCAGTTCCTTGAGCTGGATGTACCGCGGGCTGCCCGGCATCTGGACTTTCAGCCACTCGGGCAGGCGGGGCCGCAGTTCCTTCGTGTTATTCGGTTGGGTCATCGGTTACTCTCGAGGGTCTGTTGGAGGCGTTTCGACTCTATTATAGCAACTGGACCATTCGTGGGGTGACGCGGCACTTTTCTGCGGCGATGATGGCGTCGATGTCCAACGCGGCCTGCTCAAGTTGCCCGTCCCGGTTGACGACGCGTAATCAAAGTGCCTGACCAAGCCCAGTTCCTCCCCTGCCGTGCGCAGCCGCCGTTCCAGTTCCGGCGCCGACTCCGTCATTCTGCCCCTCAGCCGCTGCTGAAGTTCATCCAGCGAGGGCGGGATCAGGAAGATCAGCAACGCCTCGGGGGCCATCCACTTGATCGTCGCCGCTCCCTGCACGTCGATCTTCAGGAAGACATCCTTGCCCGAACGCAGCGCGTCCCGTGCCTGGCTCCTCGGAACTCCGTACCAGCGCCCGTATACCTCCGCGCATTCTAGGAACTCGTCGCGCTCCCGCATCTTGGCGAAGGCATCGAGCTCGAGGAAAATGTAGTCCACTCCATCCCGCTCCCCGGGGCGCATCGGCCGGGTGGTCGCTGTCACGGCGAAGTGCCAGGGGCGATTCAGCTTTCGTAACTCTGAAAGCACCGCGTCCTTCCCTACTCCCGACGGCCCGGACAAGACTACCAATAACGGAGGAGAGGCGTTGGCTTCGGCAATCAGCGGCATCGTTTCCGGCTAACCCCTTGCGTGTCCTGGGGCGAGGAGGTCCAGGTCCTCCCAGAAACTGGGGTAGGAAACCGCGGCGTCCGCGGCGCCGTGAACTTCGACGTCTCCATCCGACAGCAGACCGCAGACCGCCAACGACATCGCAAGTCGGTGGTCTCCGTGTGACTGGCAGGCCGCTCCTGTCAGCTTTCCGGTGCCGCGTATAACCATACCATCCTCTCTCGCCTTGATGTCCGCTCCCAGGCGCGAGAGTTCCTCGACGGTCGTGGCTATGCGGTCCGACTCCTTCACTCGCAGTTCCGCCGCGTCCCGGATGACTGTTTCCCCGCTGGCAAAGCAGGCGGCCACTGCCAGGATAGGTATCTCGTCGAGAAGGCGGGGAATAATGTCACCGCCGATTTCCGTGCCGTGCAAGTCTCCGTGGGTGACCAGCAGGTCGGCAACCGGCTCGCCCCCCTCCGTCCGCTCGTTTACCAGCTTCAGGCTGTTCCCAGCCCCCATGGCTTGCAGCGCGTCGATTAACCCGGTACGGCTGGGGTTCAGGCCCACTCCCTGTACCAGCACCCGGGAATCAGGATGGCACAGGCCGGCCACGATCCAGAAGGCAGCAGAGCTGATGTCGCCTGGCACCGCGATGTCCACCGACTGCAGGGACGCAGGCTTGACGTGTAGGTCCAGTCCATTCTCCTCTACGATTGCGCCCATCGCCGACACCATCCGCTCAGTGTGGTCGCGCGAAAGGGCCGGCTGGTGGATCACCGTATCACCAGCGGCGGACAGGCCGGCCAGCATGATGCATGACTTGACCTGGGCGCTGGCCACGGGCAGTTCATACTCAATTCCGTAAAGAGAGCCGCCCTGGATCACCAGTGGGGCCAGCGACCCGTTCCGGCGTCCCATAACCTGGGCTCCCATCAGTTGCAGCGGTTCAACGATGCGCCGCATCGGACGCGAACGCAAAGAGGCGTCGCCGGTCAGCACCGACAGGAAGGGGCTGGGTCGCCAGCAGACCCGATATCAGCCGCATTGAGGTGCCGCTGTTGCCGGCGTCCAGTATGTCCGACGGTTCCTCCAGCACCGGACCGCAGCCCACAACCGTGTACTCTCCCGCTCCTCCTCCCTGGGTGATTTCAACCCCCATACGTTGCAGGCAGTCCATGGTGGACATCACGTCCTCGCCGTTGGACAGTCCTGTGATCCGGGCCGTGCCGAGGGCCATAGCGTTCAGAATCAGGGAGCGATGCGAGATAGACTTGTCCCCGGGCACGGCCAATTCGCCGCCCAAGCTGCCCGGTTTGTTTACCGTTCGAACCGAAATGTTAGCCGTCATTGCCATCCCAAGAATGAAATCTCCCCACTCCCAGCCAAATTGAGCGAGGGTCAGAAGTACTTTTCAGGTGGAGAATTCCAATGAATGGCCGCCTGGACGGCTAACTCCTGCGGCGCTTTTCACGGTCTTTGTCTCCGTCCCCCCGGAATAATCGTCGCTGAGCCTCCATGCCTTTTCCGGCCCAGGAACATCTCGCCCATGGATTCTCCGAAGGTGGGAATTTCCGGCGAGCTGCGCTGGGCCTGGCTACCTGGTGTGACTGAGCCGGACAGCCAGCGGGCTCGTTCGTCGTGGGCGGTCTCGAACAATCTCTCAACTTCAGCCGGGTCGGGGCCAGACTCGTCTTTCAGAATGTTCCTGATTTCATAAAGTTCTCGTATGAACGAGTCGATCCAGTTGATTATTGGCTCGCGGTTAGTAATGGAGATATCCCGGTGCATGGTGGTATCGCCAGACGCCAGCCTCGAAAGATCCCGAAAACCGGAAGAAGCCAACTGGGCTATGTCGTCCCAATTGGCGCTCTTTGAAACTGTCTGCATCAGGGCCACCGACATCATAAACGGGAGGTGGCTTACTGCGGCTACGAAGCTGTCGTGTTCCTCTGCGCTGATAAAAAACGGCTTGGCCCCGATCGCCTCGGCCATCGTGGTTACAGTCGATACTGCCTGTTCCCGGGCGTGGGCGCTTGGGACGATACAGTAGGGCTTTGCCCGTGAACAGGTCTGCCGTGGCGTGTTCGGGTCCAGGCGTTTCCCGCCCGGCCATGGGGTGTCCACCCACGAACTGGGACCGGTCAGGCAGCACCTCTGAGGCCCACTCGACTACCGTCCGCTTGGAGCTGCCCACATCGGTGACTACCGCGTTTTCCGGCAAATGCGGGCCGATCGATTCCATCAGATCCCGCATGGCCATTACCGGCGTTGCCAGCACCACTACGTCGGCCCCCTCGATGGAGGGAAACAGCCGGTTCTCCACCTTATCAAAGGCCCCGCGCTTCTGGGCCCCTCCACGAGCGCCGTTGTCATAATCGGTGCCGACAAGCTCGAGATTGCGCAGTTCAGACTGACGCAATGCCAGCGCCAACGAAGTGCCGATCAGGCCTGTTCCTACGATGGTGATCTTGGCCAAGAGGGCCTCCTGTGCCGCCCGTAGTCCATGGTCCAACCGGTGCGGCATTAAAAGAGCATTCTACTATATACCGCAGCCGCCAACATCCCGTGGGAAGTGATTAGCTCCAGTTGGTCGAAGTACAGCTTTGATTCAGGGTTTTGCCTTTGGCCCTAATCGGCACAGGGCCCTGGCCTCTAGTCCCCGTGAGGAGCGGCGACGGGGTGATGGATGGGGAGGTCCAAGGACCTCTTTAATGCCCTAAAAAGGGGTGAAAGTGCGCAATTCTGTGCAGATATTCAATTTATGAGGTGGTCGGCAAATACCCTGATCAGGCCGAATCAAGGCCATGCCGGAGGGTGAGGGGTGCCGGGGTCAAGTCTTGCGTAGTTGAACATGGATGCACTCGGTGCGTAGGTCTCGGAGGTAGTTTCGTGGACCCTCGGGTCCACTGTATCTGATGGTAGAGGGTTGTCATGAGGCTTGGCAAGGGGCTTTTGTCAGCAGTCGCGAGAATAGGCAAATTGGTGAGATAGGGCTTCTGGTGGCCATTACCGGACACCTGATTGTGGTCTCCGTCCCCTTTTTCTGCGAGGAAATGCTCCAGTGGGGCTTGGTTCACGGCATCAATGGGCCACAAGCCCGCAGACCGTCCAAGTTGACGCGTTACCTCGGGTACCCGCGATGTCAGAGAGAGGCAACGGCGGCCTCGGCTATGCTGGTGGTCACGACCTTTTCGTAGGGCTGCCGCTCTCGGCACATTCCTGCGGCCAGCAGAATGTCGTGAAGGTTGTCGAACTCGGGCTTGCGAAGAATCGGGTTGACTGGCCACTGTTCCTGCTGCTGGTACCGGGCGATTGAGGCCGACAGCACTTCCCTGGAGGTCTCTGGAAAGAACTCCGCAACGGTCTCTGCGACCTCGTCCGGCTCTGCGGATGACAGCCAGTGCAGCGCTCGCGCGAACCCGACGGTAAAGCGCGCAGCGGTATCCGCTCGGTCCTCCAGAAAGCGATGGGTGGCGGCAAAAGAACTGTAGGCGAGGTGTCCGTTCTCGGGACCGAGAGCAGTAAGCAGGTACCCCGCCCCGTCGGCTATCAGCTGTTGAACCACCGGCTCCGCGACGTGGACGTAATCGGCTTCACCCGCCCTGTATGCGGCCACCGCCCCTGGCAGTGACAGGCCGGTGCGCAGGTCGAGGTCGGACGGCTCGAGACCGTGTCGACGCAGGGCATACTGGAACGAGGCCCAAGGCATGGGCGAGAACCCCACGGGAATTACCTTGGCGCCCCGCAGCGATTCCCAGTCGAATACCTCCTGAGGCTGTCTGCCCAAGATAAAGAATCCGTCGCGAGCGTTTATCTTGGCGAAGTGCAGCGGCACCGTTTCAGCCCCCCAGTCGGAGGAGATGATGGAGCGCATGATGCCGCTCTGTACGATGTCTGCAGCGTCGTGGTGCAGGGCGCTAAGTGGATGCGAGAACTGTGTAGGGCAGGTGCTGAACGTCACGTCCAGCCCTTCCCTCTCCAGAAAGCCTCCAGCCACCGAAACGTAAATAGGGGTGTAAAAGATAGAGCGCCATGTCTCCATCAGCCGCAAAGGTTGTCGTCCCGAGGTTGTCATGGCGTCATGGCTCCTGCACCTTTTCCAGAATTTCTACCAACTGATAACCGGAGACGCCCTGCGACAATTCTTCCCGGTCCGAACAAGCGTCGCAGTTCAATCCAAAAGAAGCCATTAGGACCAGGGATCGAGGTCATCGATTACTGGCTTCCGTTCTGAAACCTAACCCTGGTCCGAGTACTCGGTTCAACGGACCTAGTTACTCAGAAAGGAAGGGCAGCAACGCGCCCAGGAAGGCCTCAGGGTCCTCCACCTGGGGTATGTGACCGATCCCGGGGAGAATGACCTTTCGGGCGTTGACAATGTTGTTGTGCAGCAGTTCCTCACCGTCCCGCAGGCGGTCGATCTCGCCGTACAGCACCATTGTTGATGACGCTTTTATCAAGGGCAGGCGGGACATAATGTCGTACCAAGCCAGCGATTCCATCAGGTTGCGCACCCAGAGTCCCGCCTTGGCACGGCTGTTGTTGTTTTTGTCCAGCCACTCCTCTGTCGGTTCGGCGAAGGTCGTTCCGTCCTTCAGGTCCTGCAGGGTGCGCGGCTTGGGGAGCCCATCGGAGTCATATTGGGCCATTGTATCGGCCAGGCGTTCCTTGGCGGTGAAAGCGTTCCACACCGGTGCTCCAACCAGGGTGAGCTTGTCCACTCGATCGGGAAAGCTCGCTGCCGTCTCCGTAGCCAGCACCGCGCCCACCGAGTTGCCCACGATGTGCGCCCGGTGGATGTTCAGTACCTGGCAGGCCTCATCGAGCGCGTAGGCGTAGTCAGGCAGGTTGAAGTGCCTCTTCGGCTTGTCGGAATCGCCATGCCCAAGCATGTCGAAGGCGTATACCGTGTAGTTCTGGCTGATGGCATCGATCACATACTCCCAGGTCCAGACCGAGGTACCCAAGGGATGCAGCAACACCACTGGGTAGCCGGTGCCCTTCTTGACGAAGTGCATGTTGCCTTCAGGAGTGGGGACGCTGTCGGTGAGATCGCGACGAACAAACAGAGCCATAAAGCCTCCAAAATCGCAGGAAGAGTCGCGGGGCAGGCGGGTGGCGGCGAACCGCCCCAGTTTGGGCAAATGGTACCATGATGAGAACATCCACGCAGCCCGAATTCATTGCAGACCGCCTCGGAAGAACCCCTTGAAAGACTACTACGTAATTCTGGGTGTTTCTCCATCAGCCACCGCCTCGGAAATCCAGCGAGCCTTCCGTAGTCTTGCGCTCAAATATCACCCGGACGTGAGCAGTGAGCCGGATGCCGAGTTGAGATTCCAGGAAATCAACGCCTCACACCGGGTCTTGCGGGACCCCACAAGGCGGACTGAATTCGACGCGGCACGAGACCCCCTTTCGAGGTCTGTTCCCAAGTCGGCGTCAAACAGGCATCGTGAGGCGCGCCGTTACTACTTCCAGCGCCGGGTTCGTGCCGCCACGGACCCCGGTTCGACGTGGAACCATTACGATGTCCTTGGGGTGCCTCACAAGGCCACCGAGGACACCATTGTCAGGGCTTACCAAAGGCTGTATATCGTGTTCCATACTGGAAGAACGGAAGATCCCGGAACAGAGGCCATTCTGCGAGAGATTCTCGAAGCCGTTGATGTCCTGACCGACCCGGCCAAGAAACTTGCGTATGACAGCCTGCCGCCGGACCGCCAGCCACCGGGGCGCCCGCGTGGGCAGCCGTTCTCGGACAGGAACCAAGGGACAATGCGGCAGCATTCCCACGGAGTATCGGGAAGGCGAGCTGGTCGTTTGGTGGTGGTTGTTGGGGGCCCGCTGCTGGCCGTCGCCGTTGGCGCCTTGCTTGTGCTGGCTCCCTAAGGAGTCGGGAGGATAGGTGGTCTGGAAGGGCGGGGCCAAGGGCAATCTCATTTGGAGGACTTGATGATATTTGCCGTTTGCCAAACCCTTTGACCCCCGATAATATGGGATCATATGTACTATAATGGTCCTTGATACCTGTGTAGACCTTGCTGCATCCGGGCTGGTGTCGGACCACAGCGGCATAACCATAGCCTGCCCAAATGGCAGAAAAAGCAGAGACGGGACGGAATGGGACAAAATGGAACCGGAATTAGAAATTTCTGTCCCGCTGGGTCCCCCTCAGATACAAAATAGCGCGAATTACGCGGAAGAATGGGACAATTTGGGAAATAATGGGACTCATTGGGAAATATTCCGACCCATTTCTCCCACGGGGACTTCTCATTCCCCTTCAGGTTCGCTCCTCCCGCCTAGCTCTACTCGATTCATTGCGCAGCCACGGAATCCCTCATGCCAATTGCGATTGCCCTGGTACCGGATTGGTACAGTTTGACCTTTCTATTTCCGCATGCCAGAATCACCTTTAGCTGGGTGGACGAAGGAAGGTTCAGGGGCTGCAGAGGGCGAAGGTGCGAGAACCTGTATGGACCAGGGACCGGTTGCGTCGCTTGGTCAACCGGGAAATCGGCGACTACCGGATCGTCGTTGTGTCCAACCGTCAACCGTACGCCCACGAGCTGGTTGATGGTGAATTGCGGGTAACCACCCCGGCCGGTGGAGTTACCACCGCCATTGACCCTCTAATGCAAGAATGCGCCGGCACCTGGATCGCTCACGGCGGAGGCGCTGGTGATTATCTAGCGGTTGATGAGCGCAACCGGGTCATGGTCCCGCCTGATGATCCGTCCTATACCCTTCGACTGGTCTGGCTGACCGACGAAGAGCAGCGCGGCTACTACTACGGAGTCTCCAACGATGGGCTGTGGCCCCTCTGCCACAACGCGTTTATCGAGCCAACCTTCGATCAGTCAGATTGGGAGACCTACACCGCCGTCAACCGCTCCTTTGCCCGACAGGTGCTCGAGGAAATCGATGGTGGCCCTGCAGCCGTATTTATCCAAGACTATCACCTGGCGCTCCTTCCCCGACTCCTGCGCGAAGTAAACCCGGATGTGATCATCGGCCAGTTCTGGCATATCCCTTGGCCCGAGACTATGAGGTATTCCGTGCATCTGCCATGGCAGGGAAACTGCTTCGACGGATGTGATTGGCAAACGAATTGGTTTGGAATGGACTTATCCAATCTTGGGATCACTGTTGACCATTTTCCAGAGAATGGAGTCGTCACAGTGGGGTCTCGGTAGGCCGTAAGGGTGCCCGTGATAACAAGGGTGAGGACAGGGTACTCGAAAGCTTGGTGTGTAACGCACCCGCTGTAGAAATGATGCCACCTTTGTCCGCCCTGCCTATCACGGTGGATATTCGACCAATTGGTGATAAACTAGACGGAATCCCCAAAAGTCGCTTATAAAGAGGAGAGGGGTCCCAGTGGTAAATGGGCCCCGGCTTATAGTTTCAGAGTGGGACATTGGGACAAGTAGTCCGGGCCATTGAGGGGGTAGGGGTGTGACATACGTAAGCAATACGACTGATACCAAGGTGCATTCCTCACCGGCCTGTGGTGCGCTA